TAAAGCTTTGTGATACGGCTTTGGTCTCAAGCACAAACTTTACAAATCTTTTTTATTCAATTACATCTATTTTTGCACAGCCGTAAATCGCAACAGCAGTCGTCTCGTAGGACTCAGCAAAGTTGTTGATTCGGCAATAACAGATCAGAGAAGCAAAAACAGGTTGAACACCGGAAATGCAATAATAACAAAATCAATTGGTTCATAGGGAGCGGGTTTACCAATGTACTGTGAATCTTAATGAGAATAAATCAGCACGGAACACAAAAAAACAGTCAAATCTTAAAAAGTGCACATAACAATACACAAGAAATCACAAAGTACATCGCAGAACGTGATTTAGGCTCAATGTTAGTTGCTTCATAACTTGAATATAAATACAAAAGTAAATGGCCTGATGATAAGCAAGTTTTTTTTTTATCACTATTACCACAATATCATGGCTTTTTTTAAACAAAACTTTGAAAAATAAATTGATCCTCTCCACAACATCTAATGAATATTGCACCGTGAGTTCAACATTGAATTTGTATCGCACCGAGAGATTTTGATATCCAAACATACATCCCAAGTCCTATTCCCAACTATATTATCGCATGGCGCCGTAAAGATGGCGCCGTGGCAAGAGCTCTGGTGTGTGTCGTCTGGTGCACACCGGGGTAGTCTTGCACAGTTTTTCCAATGTGGTTTTACTGCAAATGGCAAATAAATGAATCTGAATCTGAATATTTGTATTGAAGCTTAAATTCATATATAATCTTCCAGTACTGGCCTATTGAGGTATTTTATGTTTTGAGTTGACAGTACATGCAGTAGTATCAATTTCCCAAACATAATGAATTAATAAATTGCTATTATTGAACAATTTGCATGTGTAATATTTAAAGTGTGTACTCTCATTACAGGATGTAATTGCCCTGTTCATTGTCTGTTTGTAGGAGCAGACTGAAGTGGGTGGCCATTTACGGCAATTGCCAAAGAGAGATGTACAGTACGATCACACATCCGTTAGTTTTAAAGGACACATATTGTGCAAAACCGTTTTCTTTGAGCTTTTATCCACGTTAAACACAAACACCTCACGCTCCATTCGTTCAAATGCTTCTTTTTCAAGCTTGAGCTATGACGAATCCTCCCACTGACGTCAAGGACAAACCAGGAGTACAATTGTCTCTAAGTTGTGTTTTGTGAATTTCTCCAGTGAAAATACGTCTTTACAACTGCCTGCCCTCAATTAGAGGCCGCTGTGTTAGATTTAGATCTAAATATAGCATAATGTAATTTTCCACTTCTCTCAGTACTGATAAAGGAGAATTACTTTTTCAGCACAACATTTGCGGAGAGCTGTTCCTTAAAGCGGAAATGGAGTCAATACTGTATAATCGTGAAATGCCTTGGGTTTCGTTATGTGTAATCAATATAACATTCATTTATTAGTGCACAAAGTTAAATATTTACAATTTTAAACATCATGTAGATGTTTTATATTTCTAAAGCCTTTGGGGAGCTACTTGGAAGGGGGTGGCGAGCAACAAGCTACAGCATTTGCTTCTTCCAACCCCTTTTTCAAACCCGGTGCAAGTTATATGTCTGTTATAATGATATATGTAAAATATTGTGCAGGTTTGAAATAAATAAAAAAATATATGAAAAAATTAAGAAGAAAAAAATAGGTTATACACAGTTTATTCTAGACTTGATTTTAAGTGTGTTATGTTTATCCTTATATTTTCACATAGGATGAAATATGTAGAATATGGAATACCAAATTAATGACAGACAATAATTCTGGGCCTAAACCAGGGGTGTCAAACCGGTCCTCAAACCGTCGGTGAGGCTGAAGGTTTTAGTTCCAACCAAGCAGGAGCACGCCAGACTCCACCCATTTCCTCAAGTGAGTCCAGTTATGACCTTAAGACTTGAGTAAACGGGCGGCGTCTGGTGTTCTCCTGCTTGGTTGGAATGAAATCCTGCACCTTTTTGGCACTAGTTTGACACCCCTGGCCTGAACTAACACAAAATATGCTTAATATCTGTTCTGTTTAAAAATGTGTTCCGGTTAACCCGATACAACATGAAATGCAAAGTGACATGCCCTTACCAGTTGATGTCCCGGTCTTTTTCTGCTTGCATGATTTTGTCCATACTTTTTTTTCCCCTCTTTTGTGCTACGCGTAATTTGTCAGTTCTTTTACGTTTTCCTCAGGCTCTGTGTCAAAGTCGTTTTAGGATTAGATAAATGCGACCCAACAGGCTGTAAAAGCAGGGAAATAACAGCCCGTAACTCAAAAGCATCAACTGAAAAAAAAAGCAATGCACAAAATAGTGTTCTGCGAGACAAAAGGCTAGTTTTTTTTTATTTCACAGGTTTCAGAAAACAGGTAAAAGACTGAGTTTGACAAGTGAAAGAGCGTCTGTGGGTCGTTGCCGCAGGGAAGAGAACTCTTGTGTTGTTCTTGCCAGTGACTGTGGCTGCGAGACAGAACTGGATTTCAATTGTGAATCACTTCTGACTATAAAGGGTGTCATCTAAGTTTAGCGAGACGACTTGTGCTCTCGCAAACTTTGAAATAGAAATAGAAATAGTCAAAAATGACATCAGATGGAATTAGATTATGTATTAAATAGGGCTTGGGTGATGTATATCGGTATCTTTATGGGCTTAACCCCCCTCCCCCGTTCTGGTGGCCTTTACAGTCTCGGATCTACAGCCTCAGTCCTAGTTGTGCGGCCTGATCTGTTGTTGGCAAATCGACAACTTTGTAAAGTCCTCCGAGACGACCGCTGTTGTGTTTTAGGTCTATACAAAAATAAATTGAATTGAATGGAATCCTTGGGAAATGATAGCCACAGAGATTCTATTCATAACAAAATAAGACTGGATAATTTGTCTCACCGTGGGGAAATGTCGATGCACGGTACATAGCAGTGGGAATAGCAGGCAATCAAAACAAGACGAATAGGAAGCACTCAAAAGTAAGATAAAAACAAACAAAAATAAACTCAAATCTGTATCACAAAAGTAGGGATCCCCGATGTAGCGTTGGATTTTGAAGTCAGTTGTCCAAATCAGAGTTCATTAACATTCAGCCAACATCATGCCGCTGAAATAAACACAACAAGATACAAGAATTTATTTGCCATTTGCAGTAAAACCACATTGGAAAAACTGTGCAAGACGACCCCAGTGTGCACCAGACAGAGAAGACGGCACACACCAGAGCTCTTGCCACGGCGCCAAACACTCTAAAGATTTTTTGTTTAAGTTCAAACCCTTTTAAGAATCAGCTGGTAATCAGACCCAATATCATTAATTAGACTAGATACAAACTTTAAATGAATAAAAGAAAGGGTACTTTATTTGCACATTTGCTAAAAATCAGAGAAAAACATTGAATTTTCCAGTGGATGGACAAAACAGAAACAAAACCATTTGAACTGAAAAAGATCAATGCATTTTTTCAGTTTTGCATGAGGCAAAACTTTCAGAGAAGCTGGACAAAATGTACTTTGAACCGATTCTAGCCATTTTATTGTTTCCGCGCCTCATTTATCTTACATGTTTTTCTTGTATATACATAGTTTTTAATCATTATTGACATAAACAGTTCAAAATGTTTAATGACGATTCGCATTTGTCAAGATTATAACTACATGGCAAACAAAAGCACACCGTGTCATCTAAAGCACAGAACATTTAATGAGACTCGCTTTGATCTTTTATGCACACACATTCTCTTCACTTTCAGCGTTAGCAGCTGCTATGTTTAGCCTGATTGAAGCGTCATCGTGCTCCGTGTTACATGCTGCTGCTTCTGAATCCTTGCAAACAACCCCTGCTGGCTCCTCCGTCACTCCTACTGCAGCTTTACTCCTACTGCGGAGTTATGGAAAACTGTGGAGGAGTTGCATTTAACAAATCAAGGCCAAATAGTATTCTTTTCTATCAAAAGTTGTGATTTATAACCCATGAGCCAAAGCTGCGGGACCAACTTTTAATTTTTCATATGTGATGGATTCTGTTTAACGCCACAGTAAGAGTTATGGATGAATCTTTGGGCTGAAAGATGAGTTATCTCAATGTCAAAATCTGTCCTTTACATTATACAGATGATGTGTAAAAATAGTGATTTACCAAACGGACCTGTGTCAACTTGACCTTACATGTCATGGATCGGTGCAATAGCTTAAATTAATGTCAGAATGTGCAATATGGGAAAATGTCAAATAAGGCCGCACATCCCTGTAATCTGAGCTGGCGTGCTGGATTAAAAAATGCAAGACGTAGAAAACAGTGAAAGATAATCCGCACAGCTATGTAGCTCCCAAAAACAGTGTAATTTATTTACATGCCACACAAAATAGTAACGTTTCGGGCTGAGGCCCTTCGTCAGACTTGAAAAGAGAATGTGCAATATGGACCACATGTGTTACTGTCACTTTACTGAGTCACCCTCATGCTGCTAACATGTACAGATGTAAACACAAAACTAAGAATTACTAGCTCCTTATTATGCTATGTCAGGGGTTTTTGTACGTAAAGGTATATAGGAGGATTTTCCCAAATTTTAGAAAAGAACCACCCTCTCTCACTTTTGGATCAAAACTCTTTGATTTGACGATCACGTATCGGCAGAATGATTGACAATTGGGAGGACCAATAGTCTTGATGATCCACCGAGAAGTAGAAAATCCCCCTATACACAGTACCTTTAAGTCTTGCTTCTTCATCATAATAAAGCTGGAGATTTTAAGACTTATTTCCTTATTATGCTAAGGATAGAGATTATATTTTATTTTAGTATTCATCATTCATCTTCATTCCTACTTTTCTATAACTTGTGAAGCAATACTGAACTTTCCCCACTGTGGGACAAATAAAGGATCTCCTAATCGTTAATAAAACTGTTTGAGAGCTATAAGAACTGAGGTTGTCCAGCTTTATTCGTGAACTTGAGGCCAAACGATGCAATTAACTCGTGTGATATTTGTACTTGCAGGAGCCCTCCAGATTGAGAACAGCGAGGAGACGGACCAAGGGAAGTACGAGTGCGTGGCCACAAACTCACAGGGCGTTCGCTACTCTTCCCCTGCCAACCTTTACGTGCGAGGTAGGGCCCGCACACACGCACATACATGCACCCCCACAAAGAGCCAGCAAAGCAAGCGGAGGAGTCTTTCCATGAGGCCAAACTACCTCTTTTCTATGTGCTTTTAACTGTAACTTACGATTACTAACCCACTCATTGTCTAAAGTATACTGTATGTCGACTGTGTGGTGTCAATAGGTCTTTACTTAAACCCTGGTGCTATGAAGGCAATTCTTACTGAAGTGACGAATCGTGATGTTGGTCAGGCACCTCGGTTTAACTGCATGCATCACTGTTTACTAAAAATGGTTTCTGTACAAGAGGCAGACTCCTAGTGCATTTTGAAAACATGAACTAGCTGTTTTGTAGTACAGAAATTCGAATGAAAAAAAATCCAATTTGTTAGTCCAAAGTGTAGAGGGTTTAGTAGCGGCTAAAGACTTCCTTTGTCCACATTTAAAGAGTGTTTGAAGAAGATGTCTGGAGATGAGTGAGATGCAGATGATTTGAGAGAGTGGTGTTGCGGCTTTGCGCTGGCTGTTTTTATTCTCTGTGTTTCCTCGTTCTCTCTTTTCCTTCACGTCATTGTGTTCCGCATCAACCCCCTTCCATTCCTCAGAGCTTCGAGAAGGTTGGTGCGCTCTTTCTTTTCTTTTGTTACTCCTTTGTTTCAGAAAGATTCACTTTTTCAATCAGAAAGAAACCATGAAGATAAGTGGACTAGATAAGAAGTCAAATGGATCCAAAATGAAGACAGCTGAAGTGTTTAATAGAGTGGTCTGTCTATACGCAGCAGATTGCATTGACTGCATTGTGAGGCCTTGTGTGCAGAACCCCTGGTATTGCCTTCACTCCCTGATCAATGTTTTCTGCATGGTATGATCTTGTTGTCATGGAGACCCAGGAATTGGAAGATTAAAAAAGCGATGTTTGCATGGAAGGAGTGAGAGAGAAGAGAGAGGAGCACCGCTGCATGTGTGGAGCCGCTGACAGGAGCGCATGGCACATTGTGTGTTTAAGGGCCTCTCCACAATGTGTTATTGACCTCTTGTCTTGTCTTGTCTTGCTACTGTCCTCGTGTGATGCTTTCGTGCCATAGGATGTCCATCGCTGCAATGATTTTACTTTTTGCACTTGTTAATTCACACCCGTCATGCTTGTACACGTCTGCTGTTGGGACATTGTGTGAGCTGCAGCGATAAGAACACACCATCACATTACCCAGATGTATGTTCTAAATAATCAGTATATTCTTAGATGGAGCAAAATGCCAGGGCCACAGTGTTACACATCTCAGTGTATCCTATCTCCTCCAAACAGACCAATATGGTTGTACTGTCTGACATTTAAAATTAATCATCTCCACGCGTATTTTTGATACCGAGGGAGATATTAATGATTCCTTCTTATTACAGTGCCTAATGAAAGCAGTGTCCTTGAGACAGACAGGGTGGAGCTGCGTAAATGTCAGTGAGGGACAGAGAAGGACTTGTGTGCTCACATTCGCAGTAATCCTCTCCACTGTGCCAAAACCTCGCTTGTCCGCAGCTTCGGACTCCCCGTAGAGGAGGCCAGTTTTCAAATAAAGATGGAAGCTGGCTTCATAGAAAATGGAGGGAATGATGCGACTCGGTACAATTAACTCTAAGCTAGTAGCTCTGAGAGTGTGTGCAGGATTAGGGCTTGTTATGAGCTCACTTAATTGTAAAGTGCTAAGTTCCGGCAGTCTGACTTTGTGTCTCTGGGCATTTGTGCATTCATAACCTGCACTGACACAGCAAAGGTCATATTTCAGCCTCTAACAGTCATCCAGTCTTCAGCTCCATCCTGTTGTGGCTCATATTACCAAACTAATCCATGTGCTTAATTGACCCTTTCCTTTGTTTTTGGCTGCGTTGTTGGGTGTACTGTAACAAATGACTGAAACAGATAGTGTTGCATCATGCTGCATTGCACCTGCTGTGTGCTGTGTGCCACGTGCATGGACAGTGTGTGTGTGTGACCTGTGCATGCTGACAGACCCAGGTGCCTGCCTAACCATGTCTAACAGATGTACTGTTTTTGTCTCTCTGTCTCTTTCTTGGCTTCAACTTGTGTGTCCAATTCTGGGTATCTTTTGGCTCTTTCCCCAATGCATTAAGCATTTTTTTTGAGAAGATTTGCATTTTGAATTTGAAATCTTAAATTATGTGTTGACTTTTTGCAAGTAGGAGCGTTGCTTTTGGAAGATTCCTTTAGAAGTGCAGGTTATGTTTTGTTTATTTGTCTGTATGTTTCTTTTCTGTTATTCTTTGTTCAATATCGTACTTTTTTCCCTACTTAAGCCTTGTTTCTTTAGTTTGAGATTTAGCCTTTTTCTGCTCTGCCCCCTTGACATTCCTTTCATCCAGAGATGTCTGTGCCATATCTCTATCTGTCTATCTCTGTTCCCTGGGCTTCTTCTGTTTCCTCTTCTGTTTTTAACATCCAAACTTTAGCCCTTGGTTCCCGTCTAAGTTTTGTTTCTCCTATACGTTATTTTCAATGGGCCTTTGGTGATATAGCAGTGTTTTTAAATAGATACATGTGTTTTCTTCTTCCTGGCTCCTCTCCCCTCCTCCCCCTTGAACCCTTTTCTAATCCTCTCTTTATCTTCCTTATTTCCCTGTTACTCCCCTTCTCCCTTGTTTATCTCTTCTTCTTCTTCTTCTTGCATTCTGTCCGCACCCTGATGTAGGAGCAACAGACACATGTACATAAGTTTATTCACTTATCCACATGCACATACTACCTCACGAACCTATCTTTTGCCCGCACTCTCCCGTTCTGCCTCTTTCATATTGTCTTGGTGTTTTTTTTGATTACTTACGTGTGTGTGTCTGACTGATCACTCCGTAACTGCCACTGCTCCCAATAAGAACCACACTTCCTGTCCACATCTCTCATTCCTGACAACACTGTGTTAGTTCTGGGTCCTATATGTACAGTACGTTGTTGTACAATGTGGCTGTCCTTTGCTACATTGCCTGTCATTGTCTTGAAGAGAACCAGAGCTGCCTCTATTTCTGCCTGTCGTCCTCCTTGGCTGTCTCTGGCTGCTCTCTCGCTGTCCCTTTAAGCCTTCAGTTCTCCGCTCTCTTCTTTGTGTTTCCCACCATTTTATCCCTCTTGAGACACCCAGGCATGCAAGTTACCTATAGGTCCAGTCTCTCGATGCACCACGGCTTTCAAAATACTTATTCTGGCACATACACCATAGAATTTAATATTAAGAGTTTGCTTGTATTTTCTCAAAGCACACAGATAGTAACACAGAGCTTAATGATTGAACTGTGTTGTCTTCTCTGAAAGGCAAAGAAATTATACCAAAGTTTATCTTGAACAGTAATTGTATTAATCACATCAAAACTGACAATATTTGTTTGAGAAACTGACTATAGGTGTCATGTCCTGGTCTGTGGAACACTCAAGAGTTTGTCACTTATTGTTTTGATGATGAGGCTCATGTCTTGAGCTCAACACAAGATTTGTGTCTTTTTGTTGGAATCATCAGTACCATAAAGTAATTGGAACTAAACTTGAAATATCCCTTTTGTAATTTTCTGTACAAAACCCTGAAGTTCATTCTCCCCCTTCCTGTTACCTCTTCTCTCTCTACTCTATCTATTTCTTTTGCCTTCTTTCTCTCTCTCCCCTCACTCCTTGTTTTTCTCCCCGTGGCCCTTTCCCCCTGTCCCGCTCTGTCCTCCCCAACTTCCTCTCCCAGTGCGCCGTGTGCCCCCTCGCTTCTCCATCCTCCCCTCCAACCACGAGATCATGCCGCACGGGAGCGTCAACATCACCTGCGTGGCGGTGGGCTCGCCGATGCCTTACGTAAAGTGGATGCTGGGCAGCGAGGACCTGACCACAGAAGACGAGATGCCCATCGGGAGGAACGTGCTCGAGCTGAACGGAGTCAGGGAGTCGGCCAACTACACCTGTGTCGCCATGAGCAGCCTGGGCATCATCGAGGCCACCGCCCAGGTCCTGGTCAAATGTAAGAGGTCGAGTTTGCATATAATGATTCTCCCTTGAAAAAGTGGTTCTTAATCTCAATGGGATGTATCTGGCTAAATAAAGGTTAAATAAAAATAGATAACAAAAATGAATAAAAAAAAAATTCCAAGCAATTTCATACAATTTAGTCAAAAGTAAAGGCTTTTGTTCCCAGACATTATGCTCATTATAGATGCATTCCTTTTATTGAAAGCTGATTTTAGGAACAGCTTCATGCTTCTGTTATGGAAAAAAAAGGATATATCTAAAACATCAAGCTATACAACTTAATAAAAAATCAATGTTGTATCTACAGTCATAGGCCAACACAGGCCACATCAGGCCAAAGATCCTATTTCTGTAATTTACGTAATGTATACGATTATTTATCAACACACTCGTGAAAGTCTGTAGTCAACATAATTTGTTGGTATTGTGTTAATATATGTTAAGGCATATGGCCCAGTTAGTTGCTGTCTGTATTATTTACACAAGACATTAAATAAAACAGGAGGAAAGATTTGTCTAAAAAATTGTTTTGACGCAGACAAATGACACATAAATCTATCCAGGACTCAATTTGTTTCACCTTGTTAGTTTTATAGTCTGCATTTTTCTATGGTTTCACACAAGTGCAGTTGAAAAACCAAACTATTATACACACAAAAGAGTGTGTGTGTTTTGAATCATTGTTCTCTTACACCTGGCATAGACAATAATATGGCAATAGTAAATGAATTAACCTTAGAAATTGGCTGAAATTGAGGTTGAGGACTATCATAATTACAAACAGAAAGAAATAAACGGTGTGAGAAAAATGTTGGGGAAAAACTATTGGAAGACTTTATTTGAGATTAAACTCGATGAGGTTAGAATAATTTGTTTGTAAACTGCTCAGACAGCAGCCCAAAAGTAGAAATTGTCTGGCAATTTATTTGAATTCTAATTCTGTGTTCAAATTGAGCCAGAACTCTCTTGTGTCTCCCTCTCCAGCCCTGCCCAACGCCCCTGGCACTCTGCAAGTGACAGAGACCACAGCCACCAGTGTAACCATCACCTGGGACTCTGGGAACCCAGACCCAGTCTCTCATTACATCATCCAGTACAAAGCCAAAGGACCAGACAACAAGTACGAGACCGTGGAGAGCATCACCACCACGCGCTACAGCATCGGAGGCCTCTACCCCAACACTGAGTACGAGATCCGTGTGTCTGCAGTCAACAGTATAGGTCAGGGGCCCCCCTCCACCCAAGTGCACGCTCGCACTGGGGAACAGGCCCCAGCCAGCCCCCCACGCAACGTCCAGGCTCACATCGTATCTGACAACACTGTGCTGGTGCGCTGGGAGGAGCCAGAGGAGCCCAATGGACAGGTGGGTGCAAGCTAGTTCACTTTGTACTAACTAGTTAACTGAGTGGATTTGATTTGATTCAGGTTCATATCATTTATAAGTACATAGTAACTGGTTTCCAAAATATCCCTGAGAAAAAAATTATTCAAATCTTTTCATTGTAAAGCTACCTAAACATCAATGTTATTATTATTGACTGCTTGTCTTTAACACTATGTATCTGTTGTATTTGTATATTCCGTTGTATTTAAAATGTCTATATCTAGAGAGGCCTGGTCACAGCTTTTTCTGTCATTCATTGCGATTGCCTGCTTCGACCACCACTTTCTTACTAAGCAGGCGAAGGATCTTGACCCATTCTGACACCTTTTCTCCTCCAGGCCCTGAGCTTCTACGTCTGTAAAGGCTTTTTGAAATTCTATACCTAATATGTTGTATCTGTAGGGCCCATGCTGCTGTAGAAGGGATGATACTTTAAAATAGCATTATGAGAGTCATTCTGATGAAGGCCCTGAGAGGTTAAAACTTAATAAAAGCCTCCAGCGGGAGCACTTTTCCAGTGAACAGGTCTGTGTCCTTTGCTGCTTTTTGCCTTGCAAGAGAGATTTCCCTGCTGTAACTCCCAGACCACTCTCTCTCACTCTAAAGAAAGACAGGGTAATTGGACTGTCCTCTCCAAGTGAAAGTGCTCCCTTCTGAGGATGAGCCACCTGGCCATCACTATCGAGTGAAATGCACACATAAGTGCAATTGAATTAGTCGCATATGGGAATTACATGTATTAAAGATTATAGTAAGAGAGAGATTATATAAATGTTGTGTTATTATTGAAATCATAAGCTGATGCTCTGTGTATTGGTGGTGGACTGTGACAGGTGATTTGACAGCTTTTTCAAATGGCTGTTGATCACATTTAGTTTGTGTGTAAATCTGTGTAGTCTCTGCATACTAAGCCGGAAAGGCAATCATAATGTTGCCACAAAATGTTGGAACAAAAGGACTTTGTTCATAAAGGTCGGCCACATCAGATCCAGGGACTTCACTTTGGGATGTTGACCTCCACCAAATCTAATCTCCTGTTCCATCTGCATCCAAGCAAAACTGTAATTTATACTTGATGACCTTGGCTGTTATCAACTCTTATGGTTATGCGTTGTAAGAAGATATTAAGGATTATTGGACATTTGGGACAGTGGGATTACGTGAACGACCACATAATTCCTCCCCAGTCACAGAGGAACACTCAAATCCATTTTCAATTCTGCAAAGTGAATTGTTTTCTCACTGATCACGACGTGTTTGTCTGGGTCTCTGTAGGTGAAAGGGTATCGTGTCTACTACACCATGGACCCCTCCCGCCCCATGAATGAATGGCAGATCCACAACGTCCAGGACAGCCTCATCACCACCGTTCAGAACCTGGTGGCCACCGAGACGTACACGATCCAAGTCCTGGCCTTCACCTCAGTGGGAGATGGGCCCGCCTCTGACCCAGTCCACGTCAAAGTCACACCAGGAGGTTTGTGCTTCTAGTTATCATTTATATGCGATATTCAAAGTGACACAAATAGTTTCAACTGTAGAGAAAATGCTACTCAAATGCGAATCAGTGATGAGTATAACTGATTTTTTAATTTAAATGGTCTGAAATAAAATGTAAACGTTAGTGTGAACTGAATAGATTACAAACCAGCCAATTTTCCACTCCTTTATACAGAACCAGAATGTTAGAATCTTTATTAATAGCCACACAAAGAACTTTTTTGAAATCCTTGATAAATCATTGGATGATTTGAACTATAAATTACAAAAAAGTATAACAGTCAGTTTGATTATTAATCTATTATTTGCTAAGGAAAAGTAACAGCAGTGTATAATAAATGAATGAATAAAATGGTCTCATTAAAATATAAAATATCCTTAACCACAAAGAGACACAATAAATACAACACACAAGTATTTACAACTGGCCTATGACGGCACACCTGCTCAAATCTTAGATAACACGCATTTATTTTATGTATAGCACATTTTGGTGTCTGATTTATTGATCTACTCATATTCTTCTTATTGAAATTTTAATTCACCTTCATTTCAATACTAAGATTAACACTAAGACTCCCAGAGTCATCATTTGGCTGCTCCCATTCCAACCAATGGCATTTGGAAAAATTCCCCCCAAAAAATGTTTTTATCCAGTTCTATTAAAAGTAAGTAAAAACTTAAGTTTATTTTTTCTTTTATCACTTTTAATTAGTGCTAAAACTGGTGAATTTAACTTGAATTACAGCAAAACAATACACCCTTTTTGAAAGGCGACCAAATTCTGACAGCAAACAGTGTGTTGCTATGGTAACAAACTCTCTAACTACTCACATTTCTGTAGATACAAAAAAAAGTCACAAAGTTATGAAGACCAAAACTTACATATGCAGAGTAATTACACGTCCAAAGCTAAAAGCTGTAAAATTGACTGCTCTTTTTCATGAAACAAACCTTTTTATTTTGAAATCCAGCATTTCCCTGATGAGGGCCTGGTTGTCAAAATGTTGCTCTTATGTAAATACATTTCACCACAAACTCATGCCAGTGTGTGGGGTATCTCTTGTTTTAATAATCCTTTATATACATCCAATAAAATGTCCCAAAATATGGAAGCCAAAACGTGTTAGCAGTGGTTTTGACATATGACATTTAAAAACAAGTCAAAGTGTTTAAACATACAATATTGTCTGCACGCTCAAGCAATAATAAGCACTACAACATTTGGTCATAATCTACTAAGCTTCTAATTTGAGCGACTTACATCAAGTTGTTTAAAGCACTGGATTGTGAATCAGCTCATCCTGTCAGAACAACATTAATCCATTTAAATGAACTAATTCCACCTGTTTGGACTCAATCCTATTGGTGTAAACAGAGTAGCGATTAAGAGCTAAAAATGCCCTACTCCTCCGCTGCTCATGACAGTGTGACAGCGGTTTTGTATCGAGGAAGTGCAAATATGGGGGATTTTGATTTATTTATTTCTTTCCTCGATGATTCAACAAAAGGAATTGGAAATGTCTTAAATCCTCTTAAAGCCATGATCTACAGCGGTACTAAAAACAGCAGATCCAAAACGAAACATGAGACTCTGCATCCTTCTACCTTGCTCTCACCACAGAATAATTAATGTCATGTATTTATGTATTTTTCTGTGTTTAGTACCAGGGCAACCAGGGAAATTCCGAGTGGGTAAAGTGACGGACACGAACATAGAGCTGATATGGGTGCCAGCGATCACAAAGGAGAGCATAGTCAACTACGAACTCCTTTACGGACCTGTAAAGTTGGGTAGATTGGTAAGACATTTTCCTCTCTTTTTTGTGTGTGTGTGTGGTGTGTGTGTGTGGAGAGTCCGCTTAACAAGGTGGAGTGATAAAAGGGCAGATAAAAAGAGGACTTTGAAAGATTAATGCTAGTGTCCAGAGCTTCAGCAGTGCGTGGTGACTGTCTTATCAGCAGCCGTGTGTCTGTGTGCACTCAGCGTCTCTGTCCTCTGCTCCTCTCCACTGCTCTCACAGGAGAAACTGACCTTCGGGCCCAGGAGTTCGTACACAGTGGTCGGCCTCCAGGCAGACACCGAATACACCTTTTCCCTGGCTGCCACGTCCAACAAAGGCCTGGGCGCCTTCACCAATGAACTGGTGCAGAGGACGTCACAAGCCAGTACGTCTCAATTTCACTGTATTATCCCTGTGGGCCTCCAGCTATACCCAGATTGAATTGTACTGAAAATTATAGGGTGTGATTACCTAACCCACGTATCAGCTTTACTTATTGGCTCCAGCAGAATTCATCCTCATATCGCTCCATCTATCTTGTTTATCAAACCGTACATCATCCTTCTCCTAAGCATCCATTGCTGTCTGACTGTGCCTTTCTCATGGCTTCTCTCCTGGAGCAGGGCATGCTGACAGATGGAGACAGAGCGGCGAATAATGTTTCACTTCTTCTTTTCCTTGCCCTCCTTTCACTTTTTCCACTCTATCAGTGTCTAATGTCTTTGAAAGGGCAAAAGTGTGTGCCACTTATTGGCTAACAGCCAATAGAGAGGAGCGATAGAGGATGGCAGTTTGCTGCTGTGTGGACAGGTAAGTAAGCACCAGCATGATCAGTGCTCAGCCTTTTTTCTTTAGCTATGTCTTACTAATTCAACAAACAAAATATAAAAAAATATTTTAAATATAATTGGCTCGTTCCTAAAAAAACAAACAAATCACAAGCTTCTCTGTCTGCATGATTTAAAGAAGAAATATTATGCGTTATTTTTGACCATTGAAAATAATAGTGACACTATTTACTTTATAAAGTCATGTTTTAGAATGTAGAATAACATATTTAGTATATATATGGGTAAAAAACATATATGGAGGGAGAAAAAAGTGATTACCTGTAACTAAGGTCACCACCAGAGCGAGGAGTTGAATTTATATTTCACCAAATGGTATCCAAACCCAGCCATGCATTTGAAAAGATTGTCATTTTGCCTGAGAAATTGCCAACACAAATTTAGGGGCCTTTGTTTAAACGTGCATGGATCCAAAAACAGCTCTTTGTTTTTGATGAGGCGGTTAAAAGCTCAATACAGTAGATTTTGCACAATATGTCTTCTGTAAATCTTATTCTGCAAAATTTTTGTTGTATACCTAGGCTTGGAACAACACAAATTTACTAGCTTTTTAATTAAAATACATAAATTTATGTCTAAGACATAGCAGAGACAAAGGTGCATGTTTCTAACCAGGAGTAAGATCGAGTTCAGCCGGTTGTTGTTCAGAGGTAAGCAACCGCAATCACATAGGGGATCCGTGTCACCAGATCTGTTGTAAGTCTGATTACAAACTGCTCTCTGAGTGGTTCTCTTCTTCAACCAAAATGAAGTGGCATCCAAGGTAGCTATTTCATGCAGCATGATTCATTTCCTGTGGAGGTAATGTGTGTTGCTTTGTTATCGGCAAGCTTTGGTGCACATCTAGATTGTCCCCTGAGGCCGGCTGAACACTGGCTGTATGGCTGAGTGGAGAGATACTTGAACCTGTCAGCTATGACTATTACACCCCCACACGCACAGAACTTTATAAAGTCCCGGCAGCGCACACATGGTCCAGATGCCGTATTCACAATGGTTATTTTACAGGTATGACATAAGTTTTCTTTTGCATATAGTTTAAAACTCTCCAGCTAGACTAGAACTGTCCTTGATTCAATTCTTGTCTTCACTTCATCATTCCAGTTTGACTTCCCAATATCCATCTGAGTGCCTTTCTCTCCCGAGGCTCCTGTGTCTCTTTTATTGCCTCCTAAATCCTGCACTGTGTAAGATCTGTTTCAGTTTTGTTTGTCTTTGTCCCTTTGGAGCCGAAGACCTTCTCCTTGTCAGCAGGCAGAGTCTATGATCTGTACATTTGTTACTACAGTGCATTATATTTCATTATATTCAGAAATAGGTTGAAGCCCCTGAAACCAAGTCCTCTCTTTTGAATTCTTAAATGAATATGCTAAAATGTAAAGCAGCTGTGTATGAGAGGCAAAGGTCTCTCCACTATAATTACATTGCCCACATCAGGTCAATATTCTTGTCTCTGTTCTATTTCATTAGGCTCGGTGCCTAACACTGTCTATTTACTTTATGTGGTTGCTCCCATTCTGCCTAAGTCATTGATTGTTGTTTGAGCATTTTCAGTTCAGTTTCTTTTTGTCTCCCTTTTTCCTAACTTTTCTCCTTTGGCTTGCATCCTCCCCTGGATTTTCTTGCCCTATTCTCTGGTTGTTCCTAAACCATTATCCCTGTCCAACCAGAGCCCTCTGCCCCACCTGAGGGGGTGTCCTGTGAGAGTGTCAGCTCCACCGCACTCAGAGTAAGTTGGAGGCCTCCTCCTGTGGAGGAGCAGCATGGACAGTTAGCCGGTTATGAGCTGAGCTATCAGAAAGTCTCTGGAGCCGAAGGTGGCGGTCAGGCCCAGTTCATGGAGCTGGCAGTCCCTCCTCAGCAAAGGCACACAGTGGTAGAAGGGCTGGACAAATGGAGCTGGTATAACGTAACAATGGCCGCCTCGACGGCGCGCGGGACCGGCCCTCAAAGCCAAGCTGTACTGTGCAGAACTGATGCAGACGGTAAGTACCGAGCTGTAGCTTTCAGCTAATCAGCATTGATTGTTTAGTTGATTATTTACTGCCTGTCTGCTGGTCATTTAATTACTCGAGTGTTTAGTTCCAGGAGCAGCACCTCGTCAGGTGGATGTTCAGCCTCTCAACTCTTCAGCCCTGCGTGTCACCTGGCGCCCTGTGTCACCGCGGCTCCGCCAAGGCCAGATCCGGGGTTACCAGGTGCACTACAGCAACACTGGAGGCAGTGATTCTCGAAATCTGCCCCGGATCAAAGACCTTCTATTGGACGAGTCCCAGGTGACTGTCTGAATATTTAAATAGGGTTTAATGTGCATTTAATCCTCAGACAGCTTTTCTCTTTTGGTGCTCTCTTGTCTCGTCTGCGCTGCCTGCTGAACGTTGTGTCTGTGGATAAGATGGAGGAGACTGACTCCACTCACTATGTGAGTTTGCTCCCTTTCTATATTTAGGAAAGTTCCCCACCTGAGATTTGCTGACATTTACTGGTTACACAATAGTTTAAATATTGAAAAAAATAAACTATGAGGTATCTCTATCTTTTTTGTCCTAGGAGATGGTTTTGGGTGGGCTGAAAGCAGAGACTGTGTACTCTGTCTCAGTTGCTGCATACACCACCAAAGGGGATGGTGCGCACAGTAAAGCTAGGATGGTGCAGACCACAGGAATCGGTAAGATCATTCATATGATGTGCTTAAAATACCTACATTATACAATATTAATACACTAATGAATTAATAGGATATAAGAAATTCATACTTTTGTAGACTTAATCATGTTCTCTCTCTCCAGTTCCTGGTCATCCATCTTTCCGGGTACGCCTTGGAGGGGGTACGTCAGTGGTTATTCAGTGGACTCCTCCAGCGGTTACTTCTGAGACTGACAAAAAGGGACGGCCTGTAGAAATCCTGGGATACCGACTGCAGTTTGGCCAGAAGAACAGCTCCCTGAACAGTTCTGTCGATTTTTCTCCCCAAGAGAGGAACTACTCCCTCAGTAACCTCTCCCCGGGAACTTCGTATGTGTTTGTCCTCTCTGCTAAGAGTAAGGCAGGCTTTGGAGCTGTGTCACAGCAGGAAATAACCCTTCCAATGTGCCCACCCTCGGGACCCCCCGAAATATCTGACTTTGTTAATGCCACTTGCTGTTCGCTGCACATCTCCTGGCAGCCTCCTGTCTCAGAAGACTGTAATGGTGCTATCACTGAGTACACCATTGCTTATAAAAAGGCAGTGAGCCAGAAACCCCCTGTTATCCCTGATGCCTCTTCAGGACCAGCCCCCTCTGCTCCTCCATGGCATGTCACACTCTCGTCCACGCTGTCCAGCTACATCATAGTTGGCCTCAATCACAGCACAGCCTACGAGGTGCAGCTCAGAGCCCACAACAAGGCAGGTCCAGGGCCATTTAGCTCACCTCGGCTGTGCCAGACACTGGCCTTTGAAACAGGTAGGGCAGTTCAAAGCACATGTTACCTCCTTAGCACTGGCCTCTGCTCCCCTTCTTCCTGTGAAGTTTCACATCCAACCACCAAATCAAGTGTGGACCAGTTGTTTCAGGTCAAACCTGTGCACCTCATTGAGGCTGAGAGCTGCACATTCAGAGGAGCATGTGCTCCCCTGTCCTCCTCACTCACTTACCTCCATCACCTCCCCCTCACACCAGTGGAACAAGCTGAATGTTAATGGGTGTCTGCTCAAAGAACACAGCTTATCACAACTCTCAGGTAAAAGTCCAAACAAGGCATGTACATGCAGAATCTATTACAAAAGGTAAGTGGAGAAAGTAAATGAAGGAAACAGGTACATCTGGGCCAATTTCTGCAGGTAAGTGTGTTTTATCTAATAGAGCTCCTCAGCCACCTTTACTAAGCTTTGCGCTGACATGCTGGATTCAGAGTCATACAAACACTAACACTGTGAGAATGGCGCATGTCACATTCCTGTCTTTGATCTGTTCTGACGTCCACTCTCCTGCTCACCTGCTCATCCTCCTCAGCATCAACCTTTGCTCCTCAAACGTCATGTGTTCACCAGGGTTGCTGTGGAAACCTGAGGAGCTGCAGACACAAACAAAAGCCCTCCACACGAGTGACTTATGTGTGTTCTTATCTGTCCTCATTTCAGATGTTCCAAGGAATTTCTCTGTCAACTTGGCCACAAAGACTAGTGTGCTTTTGATTTGGGAGTTTCCAGAGAGCAGTAACTCCTATCGCTTCACAGTATGTACAAGTTCTCAGTTTATGAATTAAACAAAAATTCAGGCGTGACAGAGTCACGCCTATCTCCGCCGTTCTAACTAATGGGCCAAAAAATTAGCTCTACTGGAGCAATCCAAAATGGCTGCGAGTGGTCCCGCCCACAAGAAAAATGTGAAAAAACGCATCTGCGCATGCGTCAGCCGGAGCAGCTCCATTCATTTGAACGAGAGACTTCAAAAATTCACAACAAGTAAACTAGACTGGTCCAAAAAAATCCACCCCCCTCAGCATTGACACACATGTGGAACGGAGCTTTGGGCCAAGAGCCAACTTTTGGTCCATCCCGTAAAGACGTTTTCGAGAGGCTAATTCTTCTTCTGGGTCCACCAATGGACCCAGAACAATGGTTCAGCATGTTATACACACTAGTCAAATAAACACTGACAAAGTTATATATATATATATATATATATTTTTTTTTTTACTTTAGCATCTGACTCCAACATAATTTTCCTAATAATAATTCTGGAGTCTGTTTTTACCATTGTATAAGATTTATCAGTGGTTTTTTTACTTCAAATAATTCAACACACATTTTGAACAACAATCTGAGATTCACCAATGTTAACCATTTCTCTTCAGGTGGAGTATAATCAGAGGAAGATGGAGGTGGACGCGCGCCTCAGAAAAGCTATGATCCCAGACCTGCAGCCCGACACCAGCTACGACTTCATGATCACTGCTCCAGAAGGAAACATGGGAGGTCTCCGTCACCGCATCACCGCAAAAACCTCTCCACCAATCACCATTCGGCGCCCCGAGATCGACCACACCCGCGACACAGAAGCCACAGTCACCATCATACTGCCATCACTGGAAACAAGGACGCCAGTAAAGTATGTCACTGATGGTTGAAAAGTTCTTGCATGTACTTTTCAGGACAGACTTTCAAAAAGGCTGTATGTAAGATTTACATTTTAGATTACAGTTACAACTTTTACATGTTTCCCCAGATAATCGGTCAACATGTACAAATCAGACATGGTTGAAATGCATCGCTATCTCTTGTTACTAATTAAAAAACGTTTACAAAACCAGTCTTTCTGCAACTGTACAAACCACTTTTGGCCTTTTCTGGACAAAAATTGAAAGCTTATTTCTTTATTGTACAAGCCCACGGACTCTTCCCATCAATTCATGTTAGAATAATATACATGTGTTTTGCAAATTGTGTTTTACAAAATTAAAATGAAGTTAGCCATGTGCAAACAAGCCCTGCCCTCCACAACAAACCCAATGTGGCCAGAGAAAATAATTGACAAAGAGTCCCTACCTTGTTATTTCTATACTACTATCATTCTAGTGCTGTGCTGAAATACAGTGTTCATAGTTGGTTTATATGATGCAAAGGATTTGTGAGAACCTTTGACTGTTGCATCATTGGATAAACTACAACAGTTGTAGTAAGAACTGCATCTAATACATGTGTCTTGATTGGGTTGAACAGAAACGTTTATGTGGTGGTGGTCCCATTAAGAAGAGCCCGTGGCGTCATCAGACACCTCAAGAGCCCAGACGAAATGGACCTTGAGGAGGTGAGAGAAACCACTGTTTGTCTGTGCCTCAAAGCAGCAGAAGACCTATAAACACAACAGAATATTATCACCGTTAGCAACTCCTGGCAATCCTTACCCTTTTCTAATTTTGCATATTTTTTCCAGTATCAGTCACGCGTTTCCTTGTCTGTCTCCGCGCTCTATTCCCCACAGCTATTGAAGGATATCAGTCAAAAGCAGAGAGATTCCAGGCAGCAGAAGACGGTGGACCTGCGGCGGGCGTACATAACAGCCCGATTCACACCTGCCACTCTGCCGGCCTTCTTCACCCTGGGGGACCAGCTGGACTACGGCGGCTTCGAGAACCGTGCGCTCGAGCCCGGCCAGGAATACGTCTTCTTCATTTTGGCTGAACTCAACTCTACAACTGGGGTATGACAGACGCACACGCTGCTATTGTTCAGAGGATTTGTTACATAATCAAAGTCAGATGCAAGATTAGTAGGAGTAGAGATAGGCATATTGATAAGAATAGATGCAAAAAAAAAAAACAGAAAGGCATTACAAGTTTATCTGTATAGCATACACAAGACAACTAAAAGTGCTTAACAAAACCAGATAGAAACAATATAAGGCATTAAAATCCTAAATAATCACAGAATATTAAAAAGAGTGAAGATGAAATCCCTCAGTTGTCCGCACAGCTCAACAGAACCGTTTTTAACCAGGATTTGAACATTGTCAGAGAAGACTGTTCCAGATTTTAGATGCATGAATCTGAAATGCTGCCTCCCCATATTTATCCCATCCCATCTGACTCTGGGCACCAGCAGGAGGCCTGTCCCTGTGCTTCTCAGAGTCCGTGTTGGTTCATATGGCACTAACATGTCTCGGATGAAGATTGGTGCGAGGCCATGGAGAGACTTGTAACAAACAAAGCTGATTTAAAGTCTATTCTCTGAGCCACAGGAAGCCAGTGCAGAGACCTGAGAACTGCACTGTTGTGATTGTACTTCCTGGTTTTAGTCAGGACTCAAGCTGCTGAGTTTTTGACATACTGCAGCTCGGGTCATTTTGTGAACAAGTTGCCTTATCTTATTAGATGATTTACATACTGAGCGCTGATTGGATGATTGTTTTAATGAGGGATAGTACTCTCTTTTTACTGAAAATGGCTGGTTTAAAGAACCAGAGCGAGGAACAAATTAGATTATTAGATTGTTATGTCTTTAGGGTTTCAAAGGCTGGTACTTCAGCTTTAAAGGTGAAGTACCAGCCAGGCACTTTACTTTAGCAATCCTCTTGTTTTAGCACAAATCATTTTTTCTAGATCTAATTAACTTAAAAATATTGTTTTTCAGTGTGTTGGCTTATCGTTTTCTGGAAAGCTTCTTAAAATAAATCATAAATATTTGTGTGCACGTGTTGATACACCTTCCATCGTTCAAAGTCTTATAAAACCTGTCTTTTCTCAGCCCTGCAGCTAAAATAATAACATTCACGTCAGTCAAAGTGTTGTAGGCAAAAGGCAATCACCCGCGTAGTTTCATCACTGATGGTAATAAAGAGTTGAGCTCGCTAAGAACTGTGGGAGGAGATGCTTTTCTCTACATCAGCAATTTGTTGCATGGAAATTCAATCTCACATAAATATCAGCGCAGATGTTCCAACAAACATATATTGTATTTTTTCAGTTCCAGTTGGACATTTATAACTCGGCAAGTCCAAAGAGGGTCTAAATCATTACATAATCATTGTTGTAATTCACTCTCTTTAACGTTGACGTATAATGTTATAACATTGCTAAACAACAGACCTGGGGTTGTTTTTAGACCACCATCCACGCTAACTCCACCCCTTCTGTTTAAAGGCTCCTGTCTTTCTCTTGTAATAGTATGATGGCAGTGTACCACTATAACATCACGCTCAAAGCCGTTTTTTGCTTTTAGTTTTGGTTTTAGAATCACAGCTGTGTTTGTAGCTGGTCATTTTCAAAATTTAAACAAAAAAAACATTGATAGAAAACAAATGAAACTTCACCCTCTGATCAAAGCAATAAGTTACAGGCGAAAAGCTTCTTTTTTACTGTATTTCAGCATGAACTGTACTGCATTTTATATTTAAGATATTATTTCAGTATGGTAAAAAGTCTCAGTGTGATTTCTAATGTAATATTTCTTGCTTTTAAAACTATTTTGGAACGGTCAAACAAGAAACGTCCTGGAAGTAAATTTTTATACAATTTCATGTAGAATTAGATCTGTAAAAAAAAAAAAAGAGGAAGGAAGAAGGAGAAAACCAGCTTAATAATTATTTTTTTAATATGACAATACAAGAGTAATATTTACAACATCAATAAAACAAATGAACAATCCCATCCGAGTGGAATGGTAATCACACATGTACTTGTTTGTTGTAGAAAATGTACGTGGCCAGCCCTTACACAGACCCAGTCATCGCTCCGGACTCGGACCCCCAGCCCCTGGATGCGGGCGACGGGCTGATCTGGGTGGTGGGACCTGTCTTAGCCGTGGTCTTCATCATTTGCATTGTGATTGCGATCCTTCTGTACAAAAAGTGAGTGCTGCAGAAGAATACACAAACAAGTTCACATTGTTTTGTTTTTTTTACAAAATAGGAAGCCTGGATTTACGGCGACATTTAAGGATGATGCTCCGTTAATTTGTTCCACTTTAGACTTTGCTCTCCCTCAGACAGCTATCAGACAGTCTGACCCTGCACCAGGCCTCGCATATCTGCAAAAGCCATCGACCTTTTGAATACTAATGCAATATATTGATTTCTCTCTAACAATCTGTTCTTCTTCTTTTCTTCCCTCTCTGCCCCTAATTATTTCTTCCTCCTTCCTGTTTCACTGGAAGCAGCCAACCTGACAGGTAAGATTAAACCAGTGACGACTTCTTTGTTCATTGGATCTTACAATCCTCAGATGGGGATTTGAAGGCACTAATAGTAGTAGTGCTGGTAATGTGTTCTCTTTAGTACGAACATTGTCAGGATGTCCATCGTCTCTGCTCAAACTGAGGATCCCGTTTCTTTTAGAGTTAGGGTCATTTGTAGATTTTAAGTTGGGGCATGAATGTATTTATTTTCAGTTTATAATTAAACTGCTTTTTTTGTGGTCAAACTAGAGACATCCTGGAAGTGAGTGACGTTAAATGTTGATGTAGGATTAGATCAGTAAAAAAAGGGGGAAAGAAAGAAGGAGAAAACCGGCAGAATGATATTTGAACATACACGGCTAACATGAGGTTTTGTTAAAAAAAATGTCTAAAAAGTCTTTTATTTGACTATTTTTGGACTGAATGTAATGGGCCTTCAATAGCTTGCCTAATTACAAAACAGAAATAGTGTATTATTTTGTCATACTGTATAGGGCTGTAATTAATTATTTTGATTATTATTATTTAGCAGATCATTCTTTGATTAATTGATTAGTTGTTTAAATCCTGAAAAGTCAGTGAATATGGGATTTGTTTGACCATAACAAAGCTCAACTTCTGCAGTCATTATAGAATTATAAGAGTCATAAGTCTGTAAATTAAAAAAATACAGATAATATGCAGTATAATTAATTAGTTTTACATACAAGGGCCTTTTCACACATTTATTATTAAGATAAGATACTACGTTTTCGTCTCCCATAGGAGAAATTCGCCTTGGGACAGGGATTCACATGCTTTACATCACATACATTTGCATACACCACAGTAGACTATAAACATTAAACAGCCCAAAATAGATACAGGTATGGACACCTTCAGAAACAATTTTCAGAGTTTTATACCGTTTATAAAGAACATTTTGCATTGTAGAGCTCAATCCATAAGATGCATGCGACTGTAGCTGTGCTCAACACTTTGGGTCTAAATATAGAGATTTGAGGTGTGTCTGATTATCAACACGTGCTCTGTCTTTGTTCTATCAAGCAGCAAGCGAAAAGACTCTGAACCAGGAACTAAAAGTCTCCTGAGCAACGCAGAGATGATGGCGCACCACCCCACAGACCCCGTGGAGATGAGGCGCATTAACTTTCAGACTCCTGGTACGTTACACAATGCACCCAAACGCAGCACATTAGCATACGGAGGTGTCCTACTAATCGCTCAGGATTTGACACTGAAAATATTCATTAGGCTAATTTTAAACCTGCTGAAATTATGCCATAACGGTTGTGGAAATAAACCCACGCAGAGTAAATCGCCAAACGAATTGTATTCACATTCAGATTCAAACTACTTACTGTACCTAATCAATATGAAGTAACAATAATGCATTTATATAGCCCTTTTTGGACACTCATACATGGTGATGATAAACTGCTACTGTCGCCACAGCTGCCCTGGGGAACAGTATGTGCCATCAGCCCTTCCAACCACCGCCAGCCATTCACACACACACCAGACTCATTCTAGGCAATGTGGGTGAAGTGTGCCCCACTGTGGCACTTGGTGTTCCCAGAGGTCTCCCATTACAGTACTATCCAGGCCCTGCTCTGCTTAGCTTCAGATCAGGTCTGACGGGATCTGGCTTTCACATGCAAAAATTACCTCAAGTGAAAGTGGAGGCCATACAAACACAGTAATACAACAATACAAGCTCAAAGTCACACTACAGGCCAAACAACCAAGCCCTGGCGATCCAAGATGGCGTCCTGTTCAAATCAATGGCTTGTGCTCAGTAGTGCATGTGCCACCATGGGCATCAAAAGATTAGCGGAACTCACATATATTGTGGGCATTGTCTGGTCCTCCCGGTTCTGCGCAGTGGTTGAGATCCCATGATGCTTTGCCCCAAATACACATGTGTGGCTCTGATGGACGTGCACAGAGGGCCAAGGCCGCGCTCTGACCGATCAGACCCTGCTGATCAGAGCAGAGCTAGTGCAGGAGTTAGACCAGGAGACGATTGAACAGAGTTTGTTGCACTGAAGTGTGGATTTAAAAAAAACTGAAGGATATAAGAATAAAAGTTGAAGGGACACTAAAATCCCCACAAAATCCGACCTTTGTGAAAGCTGTATAGGTTCTCTGTCAGCTGAGGTCGAGCTGTTTTAGTTTACATTGAGTTCTATGGGGAAAATTTCTGGGTAGCCCACGGGAATTTAGTCTTGTTCAGTCTGCAGTACCACAAGAATCCCCGAGCACATGGGTCCTTCAACTCCAAGCTAGTAATACCCTATCCAGTTATAAGTTTGTGTAAGCCCTCAGTCGTACAGAGATTAGTCAAAGCAAAGTAAGGTTTCTCACCCATCATCTGTACTTCTTAGCAAGTTTTCCCGACGTTTCGTCCTCAACCTGGGGACTTCTTCAGGGAATGAATTCTCGGACCGCGCGTTGGAGATTTATAACCTATGGGTGTGGTAAGCCACACCCTAATCCTGATACTAACTCATAAACAATCTAAGGTCTGCTTGATGTAGAAGGGAGCAGATCTAACGACCCTGCTGAGGCTAACGACCCTAACTCATTAGCATGTCACAGACCTATTGTCTGCTGGGATGCTCAAGTGGAGTGCAGGTCTCACCCCTCCTAACTCATTAGCATGTCACTGACCTTGTCCCAAGTTAGGGCGTTGTTTTTAGGATGTCGTCATAGATGCGAGGCAAAACAAATCTTAACCCTCCTCCTCTGTTACGAGAAGGTTTTTGTTTCCTCACAAATGGCTTCTTTCACCCCTCTCTCAAACCAATTCTTCTCCCGAGCCAGAATTTTAACCTCTGTGTCATCCACCGTGTGGTTGGAGGCCTTGAGGTGGAGATGAACAGCCGACTGTGGCCCACTAGAGTTTTCTCTACGATGTTGGTAAAGTCGTTTCTGTAGAGTTTGTTTGGTTTCTCCAATATAGTGGTCAGTGCACTCATCCTTTACCCTATCCAGTTATTATAATAGATCCAAGCAAGCAAACAACAGGCACCTGGCTGGCTGCTTCCTGTCTCTCAGATCAAAATGGCTGCTTGTCGGGGTACAGTCAGTGCTTGGTCACACTTTAGTCATAGCCGACAAAATCTGATCTTTTCCGCTCACCCACATTCCCAGCTTGATATTACAGACAACACAAGATGCCCATTAACCACATTTGTCTGGTAAATCTTGAATGTGGTCAAAAAACGGCATGAAAGAGTGTTTGTGTGACTCTCTTCCTGCCAGCTGAAACCCCCCACTGTGGACTAACAACATGATTTTGCGCTTCTAACAACACAGCTGTTCTGGTCACGGCACCAGGCTAATGCTGCATTGCTTTTATTTATTTGTTCCCCCTCATTTGATTAACAGATGTTGCATTAATTCTGCGACAATTTACTCATGGCAGTATAAGCCTGCAGTTTATGGGGCAGCATTGGAAACGGTGTATCATGACTACCCTCGCATAAAGGATTTAGTTTTTACCTGTCACAGCCGGAACCATTTTAATCCCAAGATGAAAGTGCATGATCCTGGGAAAGCAGAGTAAACCCAGCGAAAACCTCAGCTGCTTTTCTTTTATCATACATTCTCCCTCTCTCTGGTGGCAGCAACCTTGAAGCCCACTTCTTCTCCCCAGAGATGTGTTTTCTTGAGATGCTCAGTAAAGATGAAAATCCTGCCTGATGCATTCTGAGGTCGTTGCGGTCGTGACAGTAGTGCTCTGTCGTGATTACCTGTGGGTGCTGTGCTGCAGAAAATCTTTTAAGCCCACATTTGGCAGGTCAAAAATAGAAGTTGTTTTATTGTAGCGCAATTGGTTCTTTTCAAATAGAAAGGTTCAAAAATCTAACAGTATATCTTATGGCACCTGTTCGTGGGTGGCAAACACGCTATATTATGCTATTCTTAAAAGTTGTGTAACATACAGAAAGGAATGAGCTGGGATAACAGGGAGAATGGGCTGGTTTATTTTCCTAATACTTTTATAGATATTAATAGGGTTTTGAGTGCTTACTATAGTCCCGATGTTTTTACTGTATATGTATGTATGTAGATATAGTTGTATATTGTATTGATAAAGCTACTTTGTGAAATTTTTGGAACGCAAGCGCCAGTTCGACCCGCCCCCACATGTTCCTGATTGGACACAAACTAATTCTAATTCTTGATAGACAGCTGAGGCCCCTCCCCATCTAACTATTCTTCTCCAGGAAATCTTACTGGTGATTCTTATTCCAAGGAGACGGACTGTTTCGAATAAATGTATTATGAAAAATACTTTATACAGATGATACTACAGGATCATATGGTCAAAAATAAAAAATTATACAACAGTTGTAGATATCACCTTTAATAAATGGTGAAGAATGTTATGTATGTACAACAGCTGTCTAATCTGTGTGAGCAAAAGGGCCGCTGGCTACAAGGCAATAACTAGACCTTTTCCTTAATGTTAAATGTATTTGGAGAGATGTTATTTTACCGCAGCACAATTGATTATAGCCATGGAACACCAAGGCACACTGTTACTTAAGACTTCTCCCTTTTGCCCTGTGTGGTTTGTTTCCCTTTCACTCTACGCACTGTTACTTCAGGCCCTTTGATTTATCCTCATGGAGGTTTTGCCTTTTCCTTTCCCTCCTGCTGTGAAGAGAAACTGTTGTTGCAAGCACAGGGTTCTTCTCCTGTGCTTGCTCCTGTATGTGCTGCCCTCCTAATTAGTGTTTGTCTGTGTTTGTATTCTCCAAGTCGCTTCTCTGATCACACCGCCAGCGATTTATCAAAGAAAAACATTTACTAAAAAACGCGCCTCGCCTCGCTTTACCCGAACACATGGATCAAAATTGATTATCCGCCTCGATGTCTTTCTTAATATCATGCAACTGCGCATGATTGTGTAGTTATCAGGCCACCTTTTGCACGTGAGCGATGTCAAGCGGCAGTGATTTGAGGCTGTTCAGCGCGAGCCGGCTTCACCTTTTGATCTTTACTCTTTTCTTTCTGTGATCCTCGTTATCATGCAGGAATGATGAGCCATCCTCCGATCCCCGTCACCGAGCTGGCCGAGCACATAGAGCTGCTGAAGGCCAATGACAACCTGAGACTCTCGCAGGAGTACGAGGTTGGAATGCATTACTATTCTGTATGAGTGAACGGAGCGAGACGCATTTTTATAGCTGCTAAGTCTTCGCTTCATAACGCAAATGTGATTTAACTTTTGTTTATCCGCGTGCTGATTATATGTTCATGATTAATTCAGCACTACAATTTATTGCTGTATAACTTGTCTACGTTATGGAGCAGGAGCAGACGATCCATTATCTGCAAATGCACCGCTTAATAGCTCCTACACACTCTGCTCTTGTTTCTCCTCCAGTCCATCGATCCGGGACAGCAGTTCACCTGGGAGCACTCCAACCTGGAGGTCAACAAGCCCAAGAACCGCTACGCCAACGTCATCGCCTACGACCACACCCGAGTGGTCCTGGCGCACATCGACGGTGAGCAGTGGTTTCAGATTACTCCCAGTTACATTCACAAACAAATGTATAAATGTTCTCAATACACATGTGAAACTCAGAAAATTATCCTTCATATATCCATTTACTTGAAACTAATATACTATAGACTCAGAAGCAAAGTGAGATATAACAACTTTATTTGTTATAATGTTGATTATTGGCTCATCAACATTATACCAAAGACTTATACATATGTCCCTTTTCATGTAATGAGTCCATATCTTATATTGGTTTCTGTGTTGAATTACAGAAATTTTTTGAATGATATTATAAATTTCTGTTTCACCTGTAATTCTTCCTATTATATTGAGATTTTGTTAAGAAGAACCCATAGAAAACTGGAGTCTCCAACCAATATATTGGGAGCTAACAGAAGCTCATCATCCAAAGTGCCATCTCTCTGTACTCTCACATCAGAAGACAATTATTGATGAGACAATCCAACATGAAAATCAAACAATTGTAGCGGGAAGACCAATACCTGTAAATATTCATACAGTACATGTCCTGGATTATCACTGTTCTTGTCAAATCAATCATTGATTAGAATTATTGTAAATTAACACTTTCACTTTGTGCCCTAACGAATGAATAATAGAATTTTTCATGGGCCTCTAACTGCAACCCTTCTGAGGCTCGCTCACAAATACTTTCCCCCGATCGTTAAAAGGAGTAGTCGCTGTCCTTTTTTCTCCTAAACAATTTCTCTGGAGGAAAAAGATTGAAGACCCTTGATATAAAATGTCAACATGTACCGAGGGAATTAAGCAGGACGACAAAATGCATGTATTTGTCAGTGTTGTCTCCATGGTTACACAGAGACACTATACGATCTCTGTGGAAATGGATAGGGTAAAGTTTAGAGTGTTTCTACCGTTATAAAATCCTGATTATTGATCCTAGTCAGACTTGTTTGCATGTTTGGTCACCCCAGAGGCAGAGTGGAGAAGGAAGCCACAGTGACGGCTCCGAAACAGAAAGCGTGTTGTGCTGCCCCTGTGTGCGCTGGCATGTAACCGAGGAAAACACAAACGCATTCAAGAGCAGCCAGGGCTCCGACAGCAACGAGAAAGAACGAGTTTGATGTGGAGCTCATGAAATTATACCCACTCTGTCACGGGGAGACATCAAGGAAGGACCCAAAAAGCAGGATTGCATTGATTGATTTACTGAAGGAATTAAATAAAACTCTGGGGGAAAAACAAACCAAAAATCCAAACGAAACTCGGAAACCATGAAAATAGACGCACAAAGACAATGGACCAGTAACACATGGGGAAGAGCCCAGGGTACATATAGAGACAAAGTGAAACACATTAGGGCAGGGCAAACAATCAACACAGGGAAACAGGACAGGAAGTCAAATTAAAACAAAACCACAGAAACCAGAAGTCAAAATAAAACCAAGCACCAAATAACAAAAAATCCCTTCCACGCCATGACACACTCTCCTGTTTGTTTGTTTGTGTGTGTGTGTGTGTGTGTGGTGTCACTGTCAGTCCATTAAGCTGTTTCAAGCCCTGCACCGAGGTTAAGTTGCATCTGGAGTCCTTACACACGTCTCATTTGCAGGTATCTTGGGCAGCGACTATATCAATGCCAACTACATCGACGGCTACAGGAAGCAGAACGCCTACATCGCCACACAGGGGCCGCTCGCCGAAACCTTTGGAGATTTCTGGAGGATGGTGTGGGAGCAAAGAGCGGCCTCTGTGGTGATGATGACACGTTTGGAGGAGAAGTCCAGGGTAAAGAAGTGGCTTGTTACCTATTGTTCTAATCTGATGCTGCTGGATTATGATGTTAAGAAATGTAACAAAAATGTAATGTTTTTTCTTGTTTTTTTAGATAAAGTGTGATCAATACTGGCCGAGTCGAGGCACAGAGACCTACGGCATGATCCAAGTCACTTTGCTGGACACAATGGAGCTTGCCACGTTCTGTATTCGCACGTTTTCTCTGCACAAGGTAAAAGTCTTAGCTGTTCCGATACATTACGTGGCCTCATATACTGATTTGTGCTATCGCAGCCCTCAAAGCAGACAGACCGCCCTGTGTTGGCCTGAGATTGGATAACTGTTGGAGGCACAGCCGTTTCACATAGACCAGGGCTAATCTAGGTCCGTCAGGCTGTGGCCTACTTACACAAGCTAAAACTAGGCCAAGTGGAGCTTGGTTTATGAAGTTTATGAAATTTGGTATTTTTTATTCTCGACAATGCATTTAACGATGCATATATTATCTTGCCCTGATTATTTTCTCACACAATAGAAAAACTTCCAAACACTTTCAGCAGGTGAAGCCGAGGTGAATGAACATCACAATGCAAACTTAACAATACATAAATAGTCTATTTTAAAGACAAGGTTTGTAGAGGATTAATCATATGCACAGGGGAAGAACTATTCAGAGCCATATTAACATAAGTTGCATAAACATAAACAGAACACATGAAAATACACGTTTAGGTGAGGAAAGGGAGATTTGCGATCCTCCAAATGCAATGGTGGTAATTACTTATCTGCAGCCAAGGATTAACATAAAATGTACTCCTTTTACAATCTTAAGTTACTTTTCAAACTGTGAAGAGAGTAAATCTTTTTGAAGACACCACTGGTAGACCCGCCCATGCTCACCGTCAAAGCTTCCTGATTGGTCAAAAGGAATTCCAATCCTTTTTCATTGATTTTACTGTTCTCCTGCAGCAAATCTTAGCTGCTGACATCACCTTTAAGTACCGTGATTGATTTTAAGGTCATGTTTCTTTTTTATATTCTGACTTGACGTTTCTCTGGTTGTTTCTTTAGAATGGCAGTAGTGAACGACGAGAAGTGCGTCAGTTCCAGTTCACCGCCTGGCCCGACCATGGCGTCCCAGAATACCCCACGCCTTTCCTCAACTTCCTCCGTAGAGTTAAATCCTGTAACCCTCCTGATGCCGGACCCATTGTTGCTCACTGCAGGTACAGTAACAGCCTTTTCAGCATATAACCATGAAGTCAGGCAAGGCAATTGTATTTTTATTTGTAGCACAGTTCATACACAAGTGCTTAAGAAAACAAGATAGAAACAATCACACCAGGCATTAAAATACACATAAGTAAATGAATAATAACAGTACATTAGATAAAATCCCTCAGTCATATGCACAGATGAACAGAACTGATTTTAACCTGGATTTGAACATTGTCAGAGAAGAAGCCTGTCTCACATTTTCAGGAAAACTATTCAAAAAATCTTAGAAATTGCCTCCCCATGTTTAGTCTTGACTCTAGGCATCCGCAGGAGACCAGTCCCTGTGCTCCTCATTTTTGTATTATAGCATAGTTCACAATACTTGACAACCTTTGCTCCTGCAGCGCCGGTGTCGGTCGGACCGGATGCTTCATTGTCATCGACGCCATGTTGGAGCGCATTCGGCACGAGCGCACGGTGGACATCTACGGTCATGTGACTCTGATGAGGTCACAGAGGAACTACATGGTGCAGACAGAGGACCAGTACAGCTTCATCCACGAGGCCCTGCTGGAGGCAGTGGCCTGTGGCAACACGGAGGTAGCAGCCAGGAGCCTGTACTCCTACATGCAGAAGCTTTCCAAAGTGGAGAGCGGCGAGCACGTCACCGGCATGGAGCTCGAGTTCAAGGTAAGGATGTAGGTCGTCTCGGGCTTTAGATGTTTAGAAGATCCATTGTTTTATTTAAATTACTAGGATTTCTATGAGAAATCCGCAAAACTGGGTTAGTTAATTATGTTTAGGAGCAAGCTAGAAAATAAAACTATTTAGTATTTACTTCATGTCAGATCAATCATTTTTTATATCATTTCATGAGACTTTTGGAAAGACCATGAAGTGGATGTTTTCTGAGTACAGTTAAGGTCAAATACATTGATTTAAGAGCTTCCTTTTCAGTCGACATATCAATCTTTAGTCCACGACCGCCCAATTAAAGTCTGATTTATGAAAAGCTTGCCTTCAGGTTCTAGAATTCTAGAATATTCAGAACTCGATGGGGAGGAAGTTGTTTGTAAAAGACATTTAAAAAAAGAAAATAACCAATTTTTTTCCTAGATCATTATTTGATAATCATTAGATTAAAAAACTTGTCATATTATTCTTATATCTTAGTCTTTTTTATTGGCCACCATGCATGATTTTGATTTTGTCACCACTTTGAGACACCTTTTATTAGAACAAATTGAGAGTATAGTTGTTGACTGACAAAGAAAGACTTTGTGAATTACAGGAATTACAAAGAAATTAGGAGAGAAATTAGAGTTTTGACGGTTACCATCGTTACCATGGAATATGTTTCAGTCGCTCTGCACCACAATGTTAAACTATAGGCTCAATAGAACGTTGTATATCACATGGACCCACCTATTCCCCATCCTCTTTACTTAAAGGAATAGTTCACCGTTTTTACATACTGACAAATGTTCTTACCTTACCTTAGACTAGTTAATACGTACCTGTCTGGTCTTAGTCCGTGCGCTCTGTCATGCAAACGGAGCAAAAACGGGAGCACAACCGCAGCCTCCTTTGTATATTTTGTAGCACCAAAAGGTAGCTCCCGCTAGAAGCTACCAAACTCTTCCAAGTGTTCCCTATTAAATGTATATAGTTACGTGACGTGTTAGACTGCAAAGTATAGTAACACAGAAATGTAACAGTCGATTTTCTCAGCGGATAAAACGGGTACTATATTGTGAGGCGTAGTAATCTGAGGGGCGCTACGTCCGCGCACTAACTTCTCTCCGGAGACTTCTCTCTCGCTCACTTCCGTCAATAGAAGCAGCGTGACTTGTAATACACACAGTAGCAGCGAGAGAGAAGTCTCCGGAGAGAAGTTAGTGCACAGAGAAGTTAGGAGCGCTACGTCCGCGCACTAACTTCTCTCCGGAGACTTCTCTCTCGCTGCTACTGTGTGTATTACAAGTCACGCTGCTTCTATTGACGGAAGTGAGCGAGAGAGAAGTCTCCGGAAAGAAGTTAGTGCGCGGACGTAGCGCCCCTCAGATTACTACGCCTCACAATATAGTACCCGTTTTATCCGCTGAGAAAATCGACTGTTACATTTCTGTGTTACTATACTTTGCAGTGTAACACGTCACGTAACTATATACATTTAATAGGGAACACTTGGAAGAGTTTGGTAGCTTCTAGCGGGAGCTACCTTTTGGTGCTACAAAATATACAGAGGAGGCTGCGGTTGTGCTCCCGTTTTTGCTCCGTTTGCATGACAGAGCGCACGGACTAAGACCAGACAGGTACGTATTAACTAGTCTAAGGTAAGGTAAGAACATATGTCAGTATGTAAAAACGGTGAACTATTCCTTTAAAGATGTAAATAAAAAGTCAAAACCAAACTGTGGAACATTTTCTAACAGACGATTACAACCAAAGCAAGAACATTTCCATTCCAAACTGTAAGTAATGTTTGTGGAGAGTAAGAGTCACTATTGATGGCTATAATCGGCTTTTTCACTTTTCTCAGATTCAGATTCAGTTTATTTGCCATTTGCAGTAAAAAAACCACATTGGAATACATTAGCGAAAAGTCTCCAGTGTGCACAGACAAATACAGACACAAATTTCAGCATTTTCTGTCTGAAATCTCTAAAGATATGCGAGACCACTAGATACATGTATGTGAAAACTAGTGATACAAAGTTAAATTTTATTCTGGTTTGAAAGAGTTATTATTGTGGTCTGATTTAGTTTAGTTTAGTTGGCAAATTCCTCCAAATGCGGTTTTTCTTCTTTAAAAAATCATGGAATGAATCATTCAAGATCTTCAGCTAAATAATGAAAAAGTAAAAACAAACCAATGCCAGCTCCTTAAATATGCATTATACATATACAGAGAGTAAATAACAGCTTGCTAGTGGATTGGTCATGGTCATGAAATTAACACATGCTGTTAATATTTCAGATCGCAATTCGTTTCACTCATTATGCTCATCCTTTGAAGTGCTAAATATTATATGATTACATAATGTGATTTTTAAACAGTTTGTTTTCAATCATTTTCCGAGCCCTTGGATGTATTGCCCCATTTTACATTAGCCAACACATGCAAATGAGCCTAATGTAACCTGCATCTCAACAAGCATAATCAGTTTTTCCACTGAGCCACTGATCACACACGCTTGTTCTCTATCCAATTTGCAGCGTCTGGCGAACACCAAAGCCCACACATCTCGTTTTGTCACAGCCAACCTGCCTTGCAACAAATTCAAGAACCGGCTAGTCAACATCATGCCCTACGAGACCACCCGAGTCTGTCTGCAGCCAATCAGGGGCCTGGAGGGATCGGACTATGTCAACGCCAGTTATATAGATGGATACAGGTATGTTGCAAACGCTAATATGACCTGACCCTTAACTCCTCTTATGATGGCTTGATGAGTGACCGGATTGGATAGGTTTTCACTGCAATGCCCCCACCTGTCTTGTCCGATCACGTCTGTCATCTCTGTGTACACACCCCCACTGCTGTGGTCTCAGTGAAGGGACGTATGGGGCATTGCTTGTGATGATTCAGCTCCTCAGAACAGTTATACATGCACGTGTTTTGACTGCTCCTGTATTTGGCTTCAGGCCTAACTCTGGTGGAGTTTCAGTGTTGACTAAGAAGTAAGAAGTAGGTTGCTTGATACTCGCTTTCTTATGTGTGGACAGGCAACAAAGAGGTTACATCGCCACGCAAGGTCCACTGGCTGAGACCACAGAGGACTTCTGGAGGATGCTGTGGGAACACAACTCCACAATAGTGGTCATGCTCACTAAGCTGAGGGAGATGGGACGAGTACGTATACACAAAAACATTCTGCATTTCCCTTACGACGCTGGTTCCTAATGAGGCTTTCTGTTGTGGTCTCTCAGGAGAAGTGTCACCAGTACTGGCCTGCAGAGCGCTCAGCCCGTTACCAGTACTTTGTGGTGGATCCCATGGCGGAGTACAACATGCCTCAGTACATCTTGCGGGAGTTCAAAGTTACAGATGCAAGAGTAAGTTCAGTGTGTTTTAAGCCTCTGCTTGGAACATAACACAGGCTGACATCCTGCTCCTATCCCATTCCGACCAATAGTGTGATCAGTTATTTATGTGAATATGCGTGTACCAGGTTAGCCGCACACTATTGACAAGCCTTCGCCCACATCACTCTTCCTTTGTGCTGTGTCCAGAAAACCTTGTGCATGTGTTTGCTGATGCGTGCCATACGGCAGTCATAGATAACTCAAGCTAAGCCAGGCCTGTCCTGACGCCACTTCGACAGATGCTGTATTGATCCACATTAAAAGGGAGTCAGAAAGGCTGCACAGAAAAGAAGAAATGTAATTGCTTACTGAGTGGTTGACAGTACCAGACCCAGAGACGTTACAGCTCAGAGTTAACCACAGCCACTGATTCAGGGTCAGATAACAGTAATCATTAGATGAAGCAGGGATATTGCCTGGCAGTCCTTCTCTCTGTCAATAGGCCAAGAAAAAGCTCTTTCAATAGTCTTTTGCTATAATTACCTCCCATAAAAATAAGTTGGTTTTACACAGCTGCTTACAAGATGTACTAGTGTTTTTGTAATGAATAATATAAATGTCCCAAAGGAGAATTATTTTTTTGTCTACAAAAGTTATTGATGGTAACTACTTTTCCTAATCTTTCAGGACGGCCAATCTCGCACAGTACGACAATTCCAGTTCACCGATTGGCCAGAGCAAGGTGTACCTAAGTCTGGAGAAGGCTTCATAGATTTCATTGGCCAGGTGCATAAAACAAAGGAGCAGTTTGGGCAGGACGGACCCATCACTGTCCATTGCAGGTAACTACAAAGACAAGCGCATCATATATCCCCAAATCCCACAGTCGCTGATACTTTTGATGTTTCCCTCAGCGCTGGCGTAGGGCGGACAGGCGTCTTCATCACTCTGAGTATTGTTCTGGAGAGGATGCGCTATGAAGGGGCCGTGGACATCTTTCAGACTGTCAAAATGCTGCGCACTCAGAGACCAGCGATGGTGCAGACAGAGGTAAATACAAATCTTTTTAGAAATGTAAGAAATGTGATAATCGTTCAAGTCAAGCAATTAAATGTGACACCAATATATGATATAGACTGGTTACATGCAAAGTGACATATGTCAAGCTTTTGTTCTTTCATTCTATATTCTATTGCTCCATATGCCTAATATGCCTAATTCCTAGTTAGTGCCTTCCTGTAGCTTACAATGACAATTAAAACTTGTACTTTGCGTTCTTACAAGGTGTATCAGCATTATAACACAAAAAGGCTTGACATATCTGCATGTAAGGAGCCTGGTGTGTATTAGTTTTATATTGTAAGTTGAATTACTGAAGTAAAAGGACTTTTGAACAATATTCTGATTCCGATTCCACCTCTACAATTCAGTGACTGCATGAGTAAAGCATCTATATTTGATCATGAACGCGTCCAATTTATCACACGACATGGCGTATTCATGTATTGCCCTAGGAAAATCTAGCTTTTTAGTGTAATTGAGCACGAAACTGCATTGTTTGCAACCAAAATATGAATATTTCCAATGCTTAGAGCATTTGTTTATACCTTTTATCATCACAATATCATCAAATATAGATCACACTCCAATTTACATTCAACACGTATAAATATACATGGCCATACATATTAATTATAAAAAGACTGTTAAATAGTTAAATTCTCCCTCTGTCCCCGCAGGATGAATACCAATTCTGCTACCAGGCCGCCCTGGAGTACCTGGGTAGCTTTGACCACTATGCAACGTAAGCGAACAGATCACTATCCCATCTATCTTTCCGCACCGAAGAAAAACAACAGATTGTGAAAGAGCGAAGGAAGGAAGGCAACTCGAACCATTGGCAAACACTTCTCAGAGCAACGAATCAAAGATGAATCCTACACCAACCAAGGACAAACAGCAACACAAACACCACCAGATTTCTGCGTCGCACCCACACTCATCAGACAGCTTCCTCTAGGGGGCCCCACTGAGGAGTTTTTGTGGGTGCCAAGACTGTCATGTGTAATCCATATACTTACCTCAGTGTTCCAGTGTGAAGGACTTACTATAATACATGTGTGTTGTGGTCAGCTATCTACAATATGAAACAGTGAAATTACAAGCGGCTTCAGAACAGGAAATATATGTGTGTGTAAAAAAAGCAAACAAAAAACACAAAGAGCCTGGATATTTGCTGCACCCTAAATGGGCTTTTTATCCTTTGTATCTATGGTGTACTGAGGGGTGAACATTTCTATCTGTGTCCTTGCGTCTTTGGCTGGTTCGAACAGGCTGAGAACGAGATCTTGCCTCTCGGTAAAGACATACAATGCTTACTTACAGCACAGTGCCAAGAGAAACCCAAACTATGAACTGTGGCCTATGAGGAGAGATGCCACCCCCACCCCCTTTCACCCCAGCGTAACAACTCCGGCAGCCAGACTACAGCAACTCGAGCTGGCCCGCAATCACTTCACACAAGTCTCTGGCCACGGAAGACCTGTTAAAAGTCCATTGTACTCCTCGACAGGCTCAGATTTGCCGCCCGGTCATGCGCTTTTGCTTGCTATTTTGCGCCCCCAGTCCTTGCCCTGCTCTTGATGTCAGTCTCATCGTGTCATTGAAAGATGCGGACGGAGGAGAAAAGAAAAGGACCAATCCAGCAAAACATTATAAACATTTTCTTTACGAATCTTAAAAAGCACTTCAGCCTATAAGGATTGAAACAACGGTTTTGCGTTTGCCTTACGCCGACTTTTTTTGTTTGTTATTTGTTTACATGCTGCTTACTGGATTTCCCGTGTCGTGTGCAATATTTTTCCTCAGACATTGTTGTCGATTTGAGAAAAAACTGCAATAGGTCTTTTTGTCATGAAGCATAGCCACTTTTATGACATTTATCAGCAATTGCAAACTCTACTCTCCTGACCTACCCTCCCGAATATTCATCCAGAGTCGGTGATGTGTCCTTTGATTACTAGAACCACTGCACAATGCTTTTGCTAAATGTCTTTATTACACACACACACACACACACAGAGATCAGGCATAACATTGTGACTACATATCTACAGCAAGCAATGAGAAGGATGGATGCACAAGTCAATAATTCTTCTTTATTAATAATATTGATGGTACAACCTATTTTTAGATGGTTAGAGGATGATCGGTTCTGCTGGTGTCCACAATGTTTTGCCTGATCGTGTGCGGTTGGTCCCATGTGGTGTTATAGGAGCACATTGGTCAGATTTTGTCCGTAAAAATTGGCCATTCAGTCCCTTTCAGTACAAGTACCGTCCGAGCACAAGATGTCCGTACATGGGGATCAGATGTGTCGTAGTTAAAATTCGTCTCAAAAAAGCCTTATTGTTATCTTCGTCATATTTATTTGATGTCTTTTAATATATTTATGAATTTGTTCGTTTTTTTTGTTTATACTAATGTTATTCTTTTCTGTATTTTCTTTTCAAAATATAGCAAATATAACCAAGATGTTGTTTAGTTGAAGAGCCATTGTTGAAGTGTACTGTCATTGATGTTTTTTTAATTATCATTTTTATTGACTAGTTTTAGTGCTTTTTTATTTGCTATGCCCTCTGTGCAGGGTGCTATTTGATACTAATGTTTGTTTAGATAGCAAGAGATGTACAATAGAAGGAGGTATATGCCGTAGTTTACAATGGTGCCGGTAAGGACTGCTCTTGACCTTGCTTCACAACTACCTGAGGTGTTCTTGGGCATCAGAAAAGTTAGTTACTTAGAGACTTGTTGGTCAAAAACCTATTCAAGATGTTTAATCTTTAGTTTTCGCTGGGAAGCACATGGTAGCAAGTGTATTTTTCTGAAAGAGCACAGACAGAGTGAGATGTGCCCACATTTACATCCCTTGTTTAAAATTTGAAATTATTCTAGTATAAATCTGTGTGTGGTCCAGAAGTCTTGACCGTGTGTGACATATATCAAATATGTTATCTCTTAAATTTCTAATAATTATTGTGTCAAGAGAAATGTTGTGGCGCGCACACATACAAGCTGCATAAATGATGTGTGGAGGGCCAACTCTGGTGATGCCATCCCGTTCACTTCTGTACCTGTTCTTTCCTTTCAACCATGGATGTAGATATTGTAACTGGACTTTGTATTAAAAGCAGGATGGTTGGGTATACAGCATCATACCTGTGTCTTTGGGTGTTGTTCATTTATTGGCCACAAGATGGGGTCAAATTTCAAGACCATGCATGTTTCAAATACTCAAAGGATCACAAAAAAGTAGACAAAAATATTAAACACAGACAAGGATATTCTCAGACTAATAGGCACATATAAAGTAATATATAATATTTATCAGAAATCTAAGGATATCTTTACTGTGCGGTGAGGTTAGTGCCTCTGCTCTGAAAGTGTATTCAGATAAAGCAAAGAAAGACAGTTTGAGTCGTGAACCAAAAATTGGTTGCACAAGATCTGAGAGTTTATCTGATCAAAGAAAAGAATAAGGTTAATCCTTTGTGTTTGTCATTGTTGGACAAAGTTCAATGTGAAATTCAATGCCGCACCTGCACACCAACCAACGAGCACAGATTAGACACATCTTTCCCATTGTTCAACCATGTGTGTGATCACAGAAACCTGTTTTCCTCAATCACAGTTACTTCCAGTAAACACACACAAATCTCCCACTATAGAATCATCAGGTTGTGCACCTGAACATTGTTCTCCATATGTTGTATAAATTATACAAACATATTCTCTTGTTTGTACCCATAGGGGCAGGTAAATTGAACTGCTGCAGAGATGTAAAGGGCATAATCAGTCATTGGCTCTGGGTTTACATTGACCGCAGATGTTCAATGGAAGAGGCCTGTTCTCCAGCAACAAGAGGAATGACCTTTAAGGACATCTGCATTCTTATTGTGCACTATTCATCAGGACCTATAGGTTTTCAATACTTCAACACTGAAGCAGGCGTTGGAATGCCAAGGCCAGTTCTGAATGTGTACTAGTAGATACGGAGTGACACTACAGTAATTACCCCAGCCCAGGAGGTGATGTGATCACTGGCGTTTGTCAAAAGTTTAACTCGGGGGGGATGATCCAAATCACCGTCTCGATACATTTTTTTTTAGTAAGAACTTAACTGCGTGTCAAGGCAGAGGTCTGCGCTCTACGAGTGCATCAGATAGGATTTGTCTAACATGTGGTTTGAGTTCCATCTAAAGTTGTATGCAATGCACATTACATTATTGCACATCTGTGTAAACGAGCCAAACAACAGAGAAAGGGTTTGTACCGCGCCCTGTGCGCACTCTAAATCCATGACTTCTCCCCTGTCTGCCACAGACACGTGACCCCAACAGACACCTGTCACCTGTGTATGGTCCCGTGCCAATCAGGCGTGCGCGTGTCTGTGCGCGTGCACTCAGCCGCACTCATGATTGGTCAGATGGAGTCAGGCCGCGCCCCTCCCTTCAGTCTCTCAGCGCGTGGATATGTTGATCTTCAGATGAGTCATAATCACTTTTAACTTGGATGAGATGAACTGAGCTGCAGCCTCAGAGGTGAACAAAGGCTGAATGAGTTTCAAGAAAAGAAGCTTCTCTCTGGACAGCTCTGCGTGAGTACCACAGTACCTTTTAGAAGCAGTTATTATTATTATCACTGCTGCGGGCAGGTAAACTGTGTACTTGTGTTTGTTAAGTGAATAGCAGTGTGCAACTGTTATCAAATAATGTAAACATAAAAGGTTACACACAGATCCCTGATCTCTGGGGGCAGTTTTCTGGGGGCAAATGACCTGACCAGCAGCCGCAGGAGCAGCCTGAAGATGATCCGACCCCTGCCGAGTGTGGATGAATCTCCACATCAGCTGCAGGAGCTCAGCCAGCAGGGCCCGGGCCGCTTCTCCCACAGGTACAACGTGTGCAAGTGCATTCAAACTATAAAGCCCATACATTTGTTTTTTTATCCCCCAGAGAAGTATCTATAACTGAGGAGAGCTATGAAAGGCCGGATGTCAACAGCAATGTAAGACCACTAAAATGCCTCAATTAAGTTTGCTATAGCCTATACTGTAGATATTCTGTGTTTATGTATTTATCCCCACACTCATGGCATGTATACACAACATGACTGACAAAATGAAAGATTTATGTGTATCAAAGTAATCTCTAAGGCCCGAAAGATCCTATCTGTAACAGCAGAAAGACAGTGTCCAAACAGCACCGATTTCAAGTACTTAAATGCTTCAATACTGAATAAGGATTAAAAATGCATATCTCTAGAGCTAACACCATTTTGAATATTGTATTGTAATGTACTTACCGCTGCATTTACTGCTGTAATTCGAGTACAGCTTTTATAGAAATTATGATGATGAACTTGATTAATTGCAAAGCCACAGTGGGTGTCGCATTTTGGTAATTTATCCATACTATGACTCTGACTCTGAGAATGGCGCCCTTTGAGCATTTGATAGGTTCCGCAGGTCCTTCCTTCCTGCTGCTGTCAGGCTGTACAATGAGAATGTGTAACAAGAACTGCTGAGTCTGTACAAGTGTCACTGATAATTAACTAGTAACTTTGTCACTAGTCACTTTACCTGTTATTAGTATTACTGCATTATTACATATCCATCTGATATTTCTGCCATTCACCAGTCACTTTACCTGATGATATTATTTCTGATGTTTATTCTCCGCTGCTAATATACAATATACTGTAGACACCTGTAAATACTTACAGGGATTATTTCACCAGAGATTATTTTATTTTATTCTGATTTTAATTATATAGTCTGTTATCTTAAATAATAGACTCAATTTGATGTGTGCAATCTGAGTGCTCTTATTTCCTCTCTCTGCTATAATGTGCACAACGATGACACTGACATTTCTCCACTGTGAGACGAATAAAGGTTGTCTTATCTTATCTTATCTTATATTTGCCCCCAAGAGTTGAACATTGGAATCCCCTTTAACTGTGATCTATAAACTGTGTATTTGTCATTATCAACATAAGACATAAATTCACCTGTATTAAATATGAAAAATGCATTTGATTAATTATTTAATCAGATGAATTTATTCAAGTCATCCAATAATAATTTACTGATATAGTTAAACTTGCATATTCACACACACACACACACACACACACACACACATTCACACAATTACAATACTTCCCCCTGAGCAATGATGGAACTGATTTGAATAAGATATGGCCCAAACCTGTCATATGCACTGCTTATAATTTTGCCCTATTGCTATTCTTAAGCATGAATAATGGCTCTGTCTGATACAGAATGTACTAAATTCAACCATTTCAAATTAAAACTTAATTGCTAGCTTTTTAATATTCACGTTTGGCCCTTTGAACACCTAAGACGAAACATATCGCACTCCCACAGCAGAGTTTCTCCTCTCCCCATAGTCCTGCTGAGTGGGTGTCTATGATCCACACTTTTTCCCATCATTTGTCAAATTAAGTCATTTTCTCGTCAGCAAGATCCGCCCTGACGCTCGTTCCTTGACATCTGATTAGACCAGTCAATAGAGTATTTCCCTGCAGATTGCCAAGCAGAACAAGAGCTTCCACAAACTGTTCCCGGAGATTCCAGACGAGGAGAGCTCGACCAACGGTGAGTTAGCACACACAGGCTCCTAACGTATTCACTCATACACATTCACATCACATTGTGTCCTTCTCGTGGTCAGTTTCTAATGCCTTTGCCGACTGATTAAGTGCTGCTCGCTGCTCTGTATGCCCAATGGCCTGCATCGGATAAGAAAGCGGTACAATGTGTTTTTTAGTGAATTATTCAGCACGCACACTTCCTGTTGTTAAGGCGACACTTTGAAAACAGCACTAGTCCCGTCCTTAAAGCTGTGTTGTTTTCGTCTGCAGCCTTCACTTGTGCCCTGCAGAAAGACGGGCTCTATCAGGGGAAACTTTTTGTGTCTGAGAACAATGTGTGCTTCCACTCGTCTGTGCTTAAGGAGACCAAGGTGAAGATTCGCCATCACGAGAACGCAGATGTGGGAAAATGTGTGTTTTAATGTTGTTGTTGTTATGTTCCAGCTGGTTATCCCTTTGTCCATGGTGAGACAAGTGAAAAAACTACATTCAGCTATGTCCTTAAGCATTCAAACTGCAGATGGAGAAAAGGTGTGTTATCTCAGAGGCCATTGGCTGAAATGAAATTATAAAATGTATTTAATTGTTAAGTTACAAAGTACATTATTTTAGCTCTTTGCTGTAACTGTAAGGCAATAGTGACAAGAGATCAACATACCATTCTAGTACAAATATGTTTAACTGATGAACTGTGACACGCATTATTGTGACTGAAATTCCTGAGATGAGATTATCTTCACGGTATCATAAAAGTATCCACTGTTCTGCCCCGAGATGCCAGAGGAAGCAGACAGAACTTTTTGTTTTATGTTCACTTCCTCCAAACTGTCTTCTTTCTAACTTTGACCTGCTTTTTCGTTTCCTGCCAGTACTTGTTCGTGTCCCTTATGAACCGTGGGATGTGCTACAAACTCCTCCAAAGGGTCTGTTCACATGCTCGAGTGAGTCCAATGAAAGCGGCTATAAAGATGAGAAAGATGTATGAAGTTAAATCTATGATGTAATAATGTTACAGGTGGAGGAGAGCACCAACAGTAGCCCACGTGTCTCTTGTGGAGAAAATGATTTTGATGTGGTATGTCTATTATTCACTCTACTATCAAATGAAATGTCTCCGTAATATAAGATGTGCCTTCTATGGCTGTTTTTTCTTATGTGTTAGATATCCTCCAACTCCAGTATAGAAGACAGTTTTTCTAATCATCCAAGCAGGGAGAACAGGATCAGTTATGACAACGCCCCACAGTTGCAGAGTACAGGTATAAAAACACAAAACCAAATACAAATACTGTAATCACATTGTTTTTGACAAAACCTTTCTGTCATAGTTCGCTCAAGAGTAATTCATCCAGTTCAAGCTGAAGTAGACAGAGGTATGAATAAATATTTGTTGTGGCTTGATCTGCATGTGATCCAGATCCAGCCAGATCCTGTCAAACTGCTGCTGCTAAGCAGGACAGGGCCTGGTTAATAGTGGGATGGGAGACCTCTGGGAACACCAGTGGCCATTATTGAGAGATTTCTTCTCTCATTATGGAGAGGGGTTTCTTCTCTCAATCTGCCCCAGGGCAGCTGTGGCTACAGTAGTATTTTATCACCACGATGTATGGAGTGAATTAATATTGCCATGTGAAGTGTCTTTGAGCATCCAAAAAGCACTATGTAAAACATTATGCATTATTATTACTAAATGATGATCAAATGTTCAAATATTTTCTGTAGGAGTGTTTGGCCGGATTTCATCATTGTTCACCACCAGCGAAATCAGAAATCTTCAAATCCTCTTTCAAACCTACATTATTCTGTGCGTTTAATAAAGTATAGACTTGTGGATGTGATCAGTCCAGGTGTAATAACGTTGTTGTTTCTGCATTCAGAATGCTGTTGCTTCTTTTGACGTCAGGCTACATTGGATTAAGGATCATTGCGTTGGAGGACGTTTTGAGCCATATGGATTCTCACCACACGCAGTACGTATGACACAGGCGCTGAGCAGGTTATTTTTGAAAACCATTTTGTTCTGATGAGATAAATACAGAGCAGTTATACTGGTTCATGCACAAAGATAACATTCCACAGTCTTGACACACCTAAAATGGATTGTGTTCATGGTCACCTTTGTGCATGTTCTGCAGAAATACAGTTTAGACTTTGGAGTGATAGCTTTGTCTTTTTCAGGTACAATGAAACATAACCAGCCGAAGCACAAGCATCTCTTCTCATAAGCAAGTCCTCAAGGATGCCTTTTGAGAAAATCTGCAGTGTCTAGACACCATGAGCTATGGTTGAAAAACTGTTCAAAGAATTACACTATTTATTACCAAACACTAAGCTTGAATTAATGCTGTTATTTTGTGAAATATGCAATTTAACCAGATATTTGTTAATATTTGTTTCACATACTGTTACTTGATCCCACAGATCAAGGTACACAGAAACCGCAGAAAGAGGAAATTCTTAACCAAGTGATTAGTTTGGACCCCTGGCTAGAGCTGGAAACCACGTGCATAGAAGCAACAGGGAAATATCAGATGTAATGTATTTGAAATGCCCAATACCGAGCAATCAGAACCACCCATTGATTATGATTAAACATTACTAAAACATACATTTCAACATGTATGTCTGGCTGGTCGGGCAACTACAGAAACCACTGTCTATACAGTAGTTATAGTTTTATAATCAGTACAAACAGTGGATCCAAGTTCATAATTCAACAGCACAATCAGTGAATATTGCAGCGGCCAATGTATCAAGAAAATGATCCCTGCAGATGAAGGCTTATAAAACATGCATTTTTAGCTCAAGGTCAATATACATCAGGATTTATCATATGTGCAGTTTCCTCACTGTGGGACTAACAAAGGTTTCATTCATGTATGTGTGTATGACATGTATACTGAATGTTTTAATAATCAGAACAAAGTGGACTGGGAAAAGGAAAACATTAAAATTCAGGACCAACAATATACATTTCAAAAGGAAGTACAAACTAACCCTAACTTAAATGTCAACTTTTGATTGAGGCCAAAAGGATAACTTAACCTGAAATAGTTTATTCTGGCTCATGAATGGTGACTGCGCTATAAGGACGCCTGGTACGTCGTCTATATTTGCGTGTTTGTAAATGGAACTAACAAACTTAAGCCACTAGAGGGCAATGGCGGATCAGCTGTAGAGGGTTTCATTGTAAAAGACTACACACAAGTAAATGATGGAAGTTAATTTGCAAAAACCGAGATCTCAGTTTTGAAGAATTGTTTAAAACGTTGTATTGCACTAGTTAAAATCTTCAACATGTTTTGTTATAGGGAGTACATTTGAATGAATTTCCCCATGAAATTGTGAATATTTGTATATTTGATATCTAGCTTTTTTTTTTTTACTTCTTTGTAAAAGGCAAATCAAAATCCTTTCCAGTATTATTCCAATGCCACTAAGTGCCAACTATTTAAAGATAGAAAATTAAGTTATGCCCATGTGTTAAATGAATCATGCTTACTTTCGTATAGAAGTGATTTTTTTTTTATTTGTAGTCAATAAAAAGGTCAAGATTTCGTCCCATGAATTAATATCATTACATCATATTCTCAGTTCAAAAAGCAAAATAAAATTACAAATAATACAAAGAATAGGTAAGTACAGTAACCATATAAACAGTTTCACTAATGTTGTCTAGCCCTGCCCATCGTCCATGTCAAACTAGCACAAAACTCATACATCAGTTAGTATCAGCAATTCAAAACAAATAAACGCCTCATGTTTAAAAAGCGCATTATTCCAATGACATGAGTTTAGTTTGACCCTCACATAGAATACATATTAGAGCGTACGCCTGCCCTTTACTTGCTCTTCAAAACACATTAGACATGCATACCGTTTTACTGCTCTAGACCTAAACCCCATCCCACAAAGAAACATTCAGGGCCAGAGGGGAAGATAATCTTAGTGGTGCATCAAACTGCTAAAACACCCGCTCAGCTCCAAACCCCTTTTTCTATCAAGCCAATAAAAAGTGGATCCAGTGGTTTTCCTGATAAAAGATGCCAACATTTCTTAAACATAGTGCAGAATGAAGGTGGATTGTTCTCCCTCTTGTTCCCCAGAAGAGACAAGCTCATTGAAACTATACTGATGTCCTGGGATCACATGTATTTCAAGTTTACATCTTGTTAGCAATGTTTCCATGGGAAGTATCCACAGATTATCCATTTTGCCGACCCACAATAGTCAATTACAAGAAAAAGAAACACATACACAAACTTACATCTTAAACCCTTATTACACTTTGGATGCTTTTTACAATAGTGCTGAACTTAAGACCTGCTTTTTCATGCTTGTTCCAATATATATATATATATATAGATATTAACATTATACTGCATGAGACAGCATATGGTTGTGTATGCGTGTACATGATTGCGATGATGTGCAAAGGTCTGTGTGGTGGAACCCGCACCACACAAAGTGACAGGCTTAAAAAGAAAGACCGTTGTCCGTACAATTTGGGCCACAGAGGTTTGAAACAGATCTATGAAATTGTCCTGGTGCCCAATTAGAAATCACATTAATACTCACATTATACATGTATGGTTCTAAACTATCTATCTATGGCCCTACGCTACGACAAACACATACCATGATCAACTACATTAAGAAATATTCTCAACAGACATAACTGCAACTGGGAGTAAGGTGCAGTAAGACTGCAGAGAAGCGGGTGATCGCCGAGATTAAAACAATAGATTTCAATTAGCAATTTAGGATGGCGGATCCAAGTGCCTGCTTACCATTTTAGCCTCCAACTGGATACCATAAACAGCTGCACCTAACTTGAGACTCAAACTTGGTCTTGCAAACACAAGGTTTGAAGATGGCAGTTGTCAAGGTCTCAGTATAAATAAAACCAATGAGTGTTTTGAGAAACTAGCAACATCCACAATGAGGACTAATCAAGAACCTCTGATTGCTCATTCATGTTCCAACAGCACAGTTAGTTACTAGCAGTGGGCAATGTATCACGGATTGATTCAATTGCAGATGGAAGTTATTAAAGGATGCAATTTTTGTACAAATTGCTGCACTTCTGTTGTTTTACTTTCAATCTTAAAGCCAACAGCTAGTTAAAATTGATCATAAAAAGCAGCCATTGACAACATGGATGGAGGCCCTTTTTAAATAGTTCCCAGAAGTTAAAAATGGGCAGAAAAAAAGCTTAACGTTTCCCAGACAAGCCTATGTGCACTTGATCTGACACGAGAAAACATGGTCTAGAAAGGAAGGCGCCTTAAGTTCAAGGAGAAGTAGCGAGGATGACACATGCTTGACCAATAGTTAGTCCACTGCACAGGAGAGTTCAAGTGGTCAAGCTGTGGAGGTATTCTTCATACAAAAAATAAAAACAAATGACAAAAATCATAATAAAAACATGATTAAAAAGTCTCCATATCCCTTATTGGGGTTCCCCACATCAAGAGGATGTCCTTCATGTCACAGAGATATCAACAAAGTTACAGTTAATAGTGATGTCAATTTGCACTTCCATTCATAGAATCATTCACTCAGAAAATGGCATCTGTGTGTCTTTGGACAAAGCTTTTGTTACTTTAAAATACATTAAAGCTGTAGTTTCACTGGTATGATGTCAAATGCTCCGGCCTCCATGGAAATTAATGATGAGTGAATGTGTAAAAACTTGGTTGTAAAAGATTGTTTAAAGTAACATTGAGTGCTACTTTAAAGACACACAGATGTGACAAATAAACCAGAATTCCCTTTAGACACTCGCTCCACAAACATCCCAGTGTCACATCTCACGCTCTCAGGAGGCTGTAAAAACGCAGAGGCGGCAGTTTGTTTTTTCAGGCGTGTTGCGCAGCCAGGTCCTGGTTGATGAAGCGCCGTAGTCGCTCCAGGTACTGACTGTAAAGTTCAATATCGTTGTGCCCGGCACCCTCCACCCACAACGGCTCCACGGCTTTGGGACAGCGCTCGAACAACGCCAGGCCGTGAGAGAAGTCAATCACCTCGTCCTCTGTACCGTGGATGATCAGGACCGGAGAGGGGATTTTGGCCACCTTCTCAATGCTGCAGAAGACGTACGCATGTTGCAATAAAACTTTTCATAATTTAACTGCATTGCATAAGAGGTTACTCACTTGGGGAAGGCATCAAAGCAGTACGTTTTCTTGGTGTCCGGAAAGGCCACTCGCATACCGGAGGTGAGTGGTGAGTGCAGGACTACAGCAGCACACTCGAAACGGGAGGCCAGGTCTACTGTGGGAACTGTACCGATGCTCTGGCCATAAAGGATGATATTCTCAGGACTGATGCCATACCTGCAACACCAAATGACACGCCAGTGAGACTGCAAGTGAACACAACGACACAAACTGTTAAGACACTATTAAGCTTCAACAGCACTTTGAAAAGAGAAAGAAACTAGACTGGTAAAAAACTATAATGTGAACAACCTGTGCAACCAAAAATAAGGCATCTGGGACCAGCAATGGTCAAAATCAGATTACTTTTAATTAATGGAGCAATCCAACACACTACATTTTCAAAAGTAACTAATCAGATTAGTTACTTTGGCCAAGTCACTGGTCATGTGTTTGGATCATAGACTGTATATATTAACTGACGTAGTCACGCCTATCTCCGCCGTTCTCACTAATGGGCCAAAAAATTGGGCTCTCATGGGAGTGATTCAACATGGCCGCGGGGGCTGGAAAATTTGAAAAAAACGCATCTGCGCAGGAGTCAGCCGGCACAAGCCCCATTCATTTAAACAAGTGACAAATTCACAGCAAGTTAACTAGACTGGTCCAAAACAATTCACTCCCCTCTGCATTGACACACATGTGGAACAGAGCTTTGGGCCAAGAGCCAACTTTTGGACCTTTGGACCATCCTGTTAAGGTGTTTGAGAGGTAAGAAGATGCTATATGTTAGCATTGGCTAATTCTTATTACAGGTCCACCCCCATTGGCCCGGGGTGGTATTGCAAGCATGTCAGCGCTCGTCATTTTGGCCACTTTTGAGCCGGGACCCGCCCCCACTGGTTTGGATGGAGAGCTCAGTGTGTCACTCACTGGTAGAAGTCATTAAAAAAAATCTCTGAAGCTATAGCCACTCAAAAACCAATCCAGGGGGAGATTGAGACCGCGATTGAGAACGCTTTGAGACTCAGATCTGCAGTGAAAAGGCGGTATATAAATAAAGATTACTACTATTGAATGACAGTCAAATAACAGCAAAAAAAACATATTGTGATGATTTGTTTACAAGACCAAACCAGTTATACGGAGCAGTAAACCAAGCAGAAAACAGTTCTTTTCATTTGAAACGGTTACCGTTACCTTAAACAAGTTTTGCGGAGGTTACCGTGAGACCCAGAGTAAAAGGTTTTGCACAACATGAGAAAGGAGGAAAGCTTGTTGCAGAGTTCCTCTCCACAAGCTCAGACAAAAAGGTAAACCTCACCAGTGGAGCAGTCTCACAAATGCAATCATGGTATTTCAGTTTCAACCATCCCTCAAAATTATATCACAGCAAACGGTATGTCGCCCAGTATAAACGTTAGTTTACTACATTTTGAAAGTTTATTTCAAAAGTAATTTGGGTACTCGTCTATGGATGACGGCCTTTTCCTTCCTTGTTTTGATGAGAACGTCAGCAGGTGCAGTGGTTCTGTTGGCACTTCCATTTATACTACTGCTTCCCAGAAACTGCATTGCATGGCTATAAAAATGGCATATTTGAACATGAAGAAGCTTGTGCTAGTTTATGTGTTATGTCATTCTAAAATTCACTTGCATAACGATACTGTCTAGGCGTCTTAAGGGGTGCGTCCGCAGTGACAGCCACGACCATCAGTTTAGTAATCATAAAGATAAGTTTTGCAATAAAATGATTAAAGACGCAGCAAACCTCTATCACCATAAAACTCCAGGGAAAATCAAATATACCGTGTTCGCAAAGCATTCCAGGCAGCATCAATGTCAGCGTAAAGGTTTTTCTCAGAAGGCTTCCCAGTGCTGACGCCGTAACCCGAGTAGTCGTAGGAGAAGATGTTGCAGTTGATGCGCGTTCCTAAACCGATGTAGAAGCTGCTCATCTGCCCGAGGTCTACAGCGTTACCATGTGAGAACAACACAGTGAACCTGGAGAGAGAAAGAGGAATATAGTATATATTTAAGGTGAAGACAGCGTGAAACAAAATATATATATGTATGATTATACATGAGGACAGACCATATGGATCTAGTGTATAACAAAAATATAGTGTATAAATATCAATTTTGAACATTATTTCAGAAACAATAAATGGATTGCTAAAGTTTAATCTGTAGTTTGTTAAAACTATTAGACTGACCTGGCGTTGGGAGCACAGCGGATGTACATGCATCCAACACGGTTCCCTCTGCTGGAGCGAGCTAAGAACACATCAGTGACATCGAGTTCCCTTTGAGAGTACTGGAACTCTGCTCTCTCTGAGAGGTGAAGCTTCCACCTGGGCTCACCGGCGACCCCAGGGCTGGTACCTGCACTGGTGCTGCCTCCGGTAACTCCTCCACCCCTATCGCCCCCCCTCTCACTGCCCCCTCCTGCCCCCAGGCGTGAGCGCAGCCCTGGAGCTCCAAGTGTGGGCAGTGCAGGCCCCGAGCTGGACTCAGTCGTGGAGATCGGAGTAGGATCCAAGTCTGGGATCAGGGCATAGGTGGGTTCAGGAGGGAGGAACGCCAGTTTGGCTGCAATGCGGCTGGGGCACGGCGGGCAGCAGAATAAGCAGCATAACTCACGTATGGACAAGCCGTTCATTTTCTGGGAGGAAAGAAAATTATACAATTATTAATTATACATAATTGAATTATTTTTTAAATCATGTCAAGTTATATAAAGATTGCTTAATCATTAATGGACTTGTGCAACAACAACAATTCCGACACTAGGAAAACATTAATTCATTACACAATACAAAATTTGGAGGCTGAATACTGGAAAATGTATTATTTAAATTTAAATATTTTTTTCAATAAATATAATAATGGATATAAACAGAATAATGATTTAAAATCTTCTATGGCCATAGAAACTTAAGATAATGGAACCTTATCTGAGTGAGACAATGAGTCACAGCACACATGACAGATCAGCAGCTATAAAAAGATAATAAAACTAAAATATTGGGCGACAGTAGCTCAGTTGGTAGAGCATTGGCCTTAAGGCCAGAAGGTCGTGGGTTCAATTCCCACCTCTGCACCTTCTCCACCGACTCCCACTGATGACTGCTGCCGTTGTGTCCTTGGGCAAGACACTTCACCCCACTTTGCCCAAAGCCCCCACTGAAAGATCAAGGCTATGCTCACACTCAGAGAGCAGCCGTCCTCCTGTGGACTCACCACCTGCAGAGGGTCAGTGAGGGGCTGGTGCTATGAGACTTGGGTGGCATCTCTGACTGTCACCCCCCTGACCCAGAAATGGATTAAAGGGTAGAAAATGGATGGATGGATGGAAAACTAAAATATACATAGATGTAATATTCAGATCATTGACTAATGTCTGCTTAAAAGTTATGGCCGAGACATAAAACTATAGTTATACATTTTGCTTGTGAAAAAGAAGCCTTCATAAAAAAAGTCAAAGTACACAGTTATATTGGCAGTAGGGGTCCCAAAGTGGACACATGGATGGATGTGTTCAATATTTCCTTGTAAAAGGTGACTGTACCAGTACCTGAATGTAAAATCCCTGGGCTTTAAAAAGGGCATCAAGATGCACCAATGCTCTACACTTCAGTCACTGAGGCAGCCAGGACTGTTGGAAAGAAAACAAACATTTTAATATTAACACTTACATTTAGCTTATCTTCGGGACTAACAACTTGACACACAAAAGGGCATTAGACGAAACCACACCAAAAATGTTGACAGAGATTTGAATGTCAGGACGCCCGGATGAACCGTGTTTACATCCCATACAAGGAGGGTCAATGATTTTGGAATATTCTGTGATAAATACATGGTCGTATGAACTCTATTATAATACTATGTCTCTCCAATTTAAAACAGGGATTTACACTTGAAGCTTAGCGTTTCCGGATAGGATGAATATCTTTAGTTAATGAAACACTCCCTGTGGTTCGGAGCGACGGGGATAGAGGCTAATCGGGCTACGTGCTCAAATACAATACAGTCTCAGATCGACATTTAGACCAAAAATAAAACCGGTTGAACGTCACAAACACATGTAACTGTACTGTGTAACAAAAGCATAACTGATCATTACATTTGGTTGTTGCCATTATTGATACACGACACCCACAATTATGACCAGTGTATATCCAGCCGAGGCTAGCAGAGCGGAGCTAGCAGTGAAAATGACGGCAGCTTTCCTAATTATCAAAATCCTTGAACTCACCGATTCACACAGACTCTGTAGTCACGCTGGAGTGTCTCTCAATCTACACCCAAGCAGCACTGGACTTCGAGAAGCCGCCGTTTTCCTGGACATGGATGGTTTCTTCGAGCGCAGACAGCTATCGGCGGCTAAGGCTAATGGTCCATTGCTGCTGCTGCTGCTCGTTTTTTTCTTTCTTTTTTTCAACAACTGCGTCCGAGCAATTCCGGAAATGACGTAAATACGCTGCTCTTTAAAATATTTTTTCGCGCAAAATTATTTTAATTAATGCCCTTCTTTCTTTTATTTGTCAATTTTTATTTGTCAATTTGTATTCGTCAACTTCTCTCTATAAAGTCATATAATCATTTCTAATACCTCACCTCTTACCATTCTTATTATGAATTTATTATTTATTTCTGTATATATTGTAAATATCCTTGTTTTTGTCTTTGTTATTTTATGTAACAAATCTTATGTAATTTTTTCCTTTTTGTAAATAAAAAAAATAAATTAAATTTCGCGCAAAATAAAACTACAAATTCAAAAGTACTGAGTTATTTGATAGTTGTTATGCTTTTCGTATGCATGTATGTGTCTGAAACAAAATAAGTAAAATATATACTGTTACTGTATGTAAAAGCATGTAGGATACTGAGAGATTTTTCTTTTCGATGTCCACACTTTTTTGTAGATAGGGAAGACCACTTGAGAGAATAGTGTGTTAGCCTTGAAGAGATGAAAACTGAGATGAGTTTTTTTTTTGTGTACATTATATCCATTTTGTCTGATTCTGAATTTGTACATGAGCAAAGAGGTCTTATATCCACCCAGATGGTTTTAATCTACTTTACTCCGAGCATCAGTGACATTGTGCACTGTAAGATAAAGCTTCAGACAGTAAAAAGGCTAAAACACTAAGAGTATGTTGAGTGATGTTGGCATCGGCCTTTTCCCCGGCTGTCTAGAGATACATTTACATTATTTTCAAGTTTAATGTTTCTTCTTTGTCTGTGACTTGCATATTTGAGTGCATCTGTAACTTTTTGTATTGATAATGTGAGATTTAATAACACTTTGAAGCAACTTTTGTTAAAGTTAAACTCATCATTCTATCAATGTGCAGAAGCCTGTACTTTTCCCTTGTTTTGTCTATCTGAAGGCCAAGCTACAAGCACACCGTGGAAGCTGCTGATTGGAGGTCTCCATGCCTCCGCTCTGTATAATACACTTGCATTCTGTTGTATCTGTGTTCCTGTTGTTCGTGCTGTCTCTACCATCGACAATAAAACATGTCTTCTGTCTGAATTAAAGACGCGATCCCAGACTATGTCATCTTCTTCAATAACTTAAAAATATATATCAAAATGACACTGCCCTTGTAACTGATCGGGGTAGAATATTATATAATCAACAGAATGTTGTGACTAAGCAAAAAATATAATACAAACTGAATTTGTTAAGATTTTTCTTTTCGATTTCCACACTTTTTTGTATTTCATGTTTAAGTCTACATTAAAAGATAAAAGGCTATAGAGGATATAAAATATGCGTTTTAATAAAATCCATGTGATTATATATAGTTTTCTTCAATACTAAAATCATCATCAATCTATGCGGTGTTGTTGATGTTATAAACGTCACTTCGTTGCCCTCTGTGACAAGGTGAATCTTGAATCATAAACAACTTTCCTGGTTAAATAAAAGTCAATCAAAATAATGTGTTTTGTTCTTAAAATTTTACTGTTGGAACGAAACATGTATTTATGACATAAACACAAAAACAAGTTCGGTCGCCTACTTCAGCCTACTCAAGTTAAAATCCAAACTACGGAATATGGTCAAACTCTTCAAAGCAGTGAAATAGTTTTGTGTTTTGGGATTTAAAATAAACAAAACGTGGGCTTGCTGCACACAGGCTATATGCTTCTGTGCGCGTGCATGTTTCGGTGCGTGTGCGTGTGAAAGAGAGAGCGAGAGACGGAGTGAGAGAGTCTATTCATCATTGATCCGCTGCAGGACTGTGTTTCGGGGGGTGTGAATTATGGGCCCCTGCTGTCACTGTGCCTGCTCTGCGTTGGACATTTCACCTCGCCACTGTAAATTTAAAAAGAGGATTAGACCACATTTTGCTGACCATTGACATCGCAAAGCGCAGCCTGACCAAGTGCAGACAATTGGCTACCGGTCCCCCCCTGACAGAAGAATTACCACAGTTCGCTATTGCACGAAGAGACAGCTTGAGCGCCTCGGAAAAATTGCAATTTCACAAGTAGTCTGGATAGAGCCTCTTAAAAAGACAATTTTGGGTTGGGGGAATTGGACGCGCTGCTGAAGCTGGTGATGCTGCTACGGAAACGCGCAGGACCCACGCAGGGACTAGACAGGTGAGGTGCGGTTGTTCCAGAGAGCCATTGGATTTACAGGACCGAGCCACTCACCAGCCTTGGACCATAGACTGGGAAGAGAAAGAGGCGCGGAGAGGGCACCTGCTCAGCCTCCTGGTACCTGGCCATCTGCTGTGGTGAGTGCATGCGCCAAACCTTACAGACATACACTGGGCGTAGGAAGGATAATACAGGTAGTGGGGCTGGGTGCGCATTGTATTGCTAGCATCATCTAACGCAATTGCTGCATTATTAGCACCCCTCCTCTCTCCAGGCTATGTGTGAAGAGCCTCGTCTGGACATTGCATGAAGAGCTCTTTGTGTCTCCTGCTGTTGTAATGTCTTTGGATCTTGATATGTTTTTGTGGTGAAAAAGGATTCCCATTAAAGCCCTAATGCGAATTGATGTTTCACCATTCAAGATACTTTGTAAGACTGCGCAAAACATTGATTAGCAGAAAGTGTCACAGAAATCCAGCAGGCAAAAACCTCATGTCAATGTTCAATTACAGGCATTGCGCATTGTGTAAAAAATATTTAAATAAATGGACAAACACAACCGTTTAATTACAATTCCCCTGTGAGGCATGTGTTTTGATGATCTGGAACAGTGAGGGCAATTGATTTTGTCATCAGTCACTTTGAGCTGAGTGACAGCATAACATTACAAATCCACAGAACAAACAATGTGAATGCACTGAGATGTGAAGTTGCATAAGAAATGTTCAGAGAGATACCAGTGACAACATTGGCCTGTGAAACCCTCTACCGCAAGTTTGTGTGAAAGTGCTACTGAACCAATGGTTTATACACCAGTATAGAACAATATCATCCCCCAAAGCTATGCTGGTTGTAACTGTGTTTTTGCATTGGCCAGTTAGGAAGAAAAAACAGCGTTTCAAACAAAAGGGAGTCTGAAGAGATGAGTCGTAGTGGATGGAGTGTGTTGTTGTCAAATTGGTGAATAGAGTACAGGGTGTAGGCAGAGCATAAGTGACAGAAGCAAAAAAATTGTAGCAGAAAGCCAGAGCTGCAGACAGCAGTCTGAGAGGCAGTGAATGGTCTCCCTGTTATCCCTGCTGCCCACACAGACAGCCTCACAGCAGCCCTGTGAGCAGGTGCTAACCCCATCACAAAGCAACAACAGGTGCAGCTACTGTTTCAGAAGCTACTAAGCCCAAAGTCGGACTCACACCAAACCTGCATGTGTACTTACATACAGCACAGATAGCCCAACTAGACTAATCCACTTATTTGCTTTGGACGAAGTTAAAAGCTCTTGAAGCAATAACATTACTTCTGGAAGTAAATAGAGAAAGCTGGTGGTGTAAGTTGACTGCCCATGGGAATCTAACATGAGTCAGATTGATGTTTCCTATTCAATCAGAGGGCATCATGGCGGGCTGAATAGCTGCACACCATGAGAGTAGACATCAACAACCAGAACTATGAACATTTGGTTGTTAAACAGATCTAATTTCCGGAAATTACAGAAATAACTTAGGCGGCTGTGTCTGTTAGACATAAAACAAGCAGAACATTCTGAGAATAGAATGATGTAAGCTAACAACTCCTGTTCCGACCACCCAGAGACTGTGTACAGCAACCTGCGACAAATTGCCTCTCTTTACCCACTACACTGACTCACTCCTGCTTCTGAACACTGCTAGCTGTAACTTGCCAAAAAATCTATATGAAAGTGCTGCTGTCCCATACATATACACTAACGATTGTCGAGTGAACTTTCTCAGACTTGGTTTCCATAAATGTTGTAATTGTCAAGTAAATGTGTGCACTTCAGCAGATCATAGGTCTCAAACTGAGCAGGGTTCTGAAGAGTGAGCCATTATAACAACCCCCCCCACACACACACACACACACACACACACACACAGGCCATGCAACTGCGTGGTTATGTGAAGAGATTGGGGGAATCATGCATTTACAAAGTTGTTAATGGGGTCTGTGTATTTGTTTCTGTGGTACTACCAAACAAGTCTTACTCCGGCAATATCACTGCACAAAATAAACTTTTATGAAGAGTTTACCTAGTTTTCATTGACACAAAAAACAAAAAAGTTAGTTGAACCTTTCAGTTTTTTTAGAAAGATTAACATTTTCCTTGTGACCTTTCAAAGTTGCCACTTGTTTCTTTACCCGTATTAGTGTTCAATATTAGGGTTGACAGATACACTTCAGAGTGTGTCCAAAATCATGAAATTAAAAGAAATATCGACTGATGAAAAAAATCATCATACTATCTAAGACTTAAACCTGTCCTGCAGCATGGCTCAGTGTGTGGAGCTGCACTTACTCATGGAAATATTGGTCGATTCAGTCTGTGTTCTGTTAGTATGTATTCATGTTTACAGTCTATGGTATGTATGTTCCGGTTTTCTCCATAATCTCCTTCCAATTAATGTCCAAATATAAATATACGAACACATGTTTGTTCATGTGCAGTTGCCCTTTCTGTCAACTTTAGTACTTTTTGGCAACAAATAAATGCACATAGGTTGAATTAAATGCTTTCATAAAGCCTGGTTCATTGTCTTGCAGCTATTTAAGATTTTTATTTGCCTGACGAAGCTTTGTTTGGGTTCATCTCCCTCTCTCCCCCATCCTGTCCCCGAACTCACCCCTCCCTTTTACCACACAAACACAACTTTTCTCTTTTAATTATGCTTTTCATGTGCGGCCGCCTGGAGCAAAGCAGCTCCACAATTACACCTGCAAGGAGCAGAGATGTGTGTCTGTGCACATGTGTGTGAGCGTCAATCTACCAGCAGCTCTCTGGCATTTTCATTTCAAATGCGTGTAGACCTCCTATTGAGAGCTCTGATCCTCCTAGCAGGCTTCTTCCAAAGAGCTATATTTATTGCTGGTGGCGATCACAGCACACAAAGAAAAACATGCAGCAGTATTAAGCCACTTTTGAGTTGAAACATTTTTATAGTTGAAACCATTAGTTAGAAAAAGACGTTATGTTAATGCTGATGTTTGTTACTGTGGATGTAATCATGAACCACATAGTATGCATTAGCTAGTACTCCTTGTTGTAATATATGTTTTAGACAATTGCACCAGTACGGCAAATAAAGCAATAAGCAAAAAAACTCAATGTTGACATAAAATCAGGCACAGCATTTTAATTTTTTTTATCAATTATACATAAAAGCATGATGTATATATGTTATGTTGGCAGTCTTACCCCAATTATTTCACCTGCAAATATTGATTCGGCTTTTGATTATCTTAACACTAAATATCGAGTAAACTGACATATATATATATATATATGATATTTTTCAAGTTTGCTGAAATATTTGTTTTTTTAATCAGTTGAAGAAAGTAAATCTAAATTTTTAATCTCTGAATATTATTGACACTACTGTCTAACTACGGTCAAGGCCGCCCCTACACTGCCCCATTCCAAGTTACAGTGCAATCCCTAAATCTATCCAACATCAGCAATCTTTTATCTCTGTCACTTGCAGTAGCACACAGCACACTGCTATAGTCCCATTGATAGCAGTCCGTGCCCACCGTCTGTCGCCGTGTGGAGACTGCATCGCTGCCACTGCACGTATGAGGCTGTCGTGCACGTGTGTGGAGGGTGTGCATTGCATACTGGCTCTGGGCTATGTGCGCTGAATGTATATGTGCTTACTGCAGTCAAACTCTGGTTAGTAACGTTTGCCCTTGCTGCTGCAGCTCCTTACAGCACCATAAATATACTGTGCCTGCGCCGCCTCACCCTGTATACGGCCACTGATATATCGTCTGTTTTACGACACAGATTTAGCTGTTTTGATTGGGTTCTTGCTTGTGTAGATTATCCATAAGCCGGCTTCGTTCATACAGGCTAGGAGGTGTCTTCCACCACAGGCTTTCGGCAGGAGGTCTGATTAGATGAGTCTGGTGGGGACGTCCTGGCAACACTCCGTGCTCTGTCCATCCTATTTTAATTACCTATGGCACACACCCAGGGGAATCACTCTTCTTTCATGCCTCTGTTCTTCTCCTCTTTCACATTCTGTTTCTTTCCTCCATACACTTAACCTGATAGGCACAGCTGCATCAAAGGTTTGCACGGATGTAACCGCTACATTAGCATATAAACCAGCCTGCAGATTGAGTAGTGTTTTAGGATATTTACTGCAAAAGACAGATTCCCTTAACTTTGATTAGTACTGCTCCCAGTAGATAGGGAAGACCACTTGAGAGAATAGTGTGTTAGCCTCTAAGAGATGAAAACTGAGATGAGTTTTTTTTTTTTTTGTACATTATATCCATTTTGTCTGATTCTGAATTTGTACATGAGCAAAGAGGTCTTATATCCACCCAGATGGTTTTAATCTACTTTACTCCGAGCATCAGTGACATTGTGCACTGTAAGATAAAGCTTCAGACAGTAAAAAGGCTAAAACACTAAGAGTATGTTGAGTGATGTTGGCATCGGCCTTTTCCCCGGCTGTCTAGAGATACATTTACATTATTTTCAAGTTTAATGTTTCTTCTTTGTCTGTGACTTGCATATTTGAGTGCATCTGTAACTTTTTGTATTGATAATGTGAGATTTCATAACACTTTGAAGCAACTTTTGTTAAAGTTAAACTCATCATTCTATCAATGTGCAGAAGCCTGTACTTTTCCCTTGTTTTGTCTATCTGAAGGCCAAGCTACATGGCACCGTGGAAGCTGCTGATTGGAGGTCTCCATGCCTCCGCTCTGTATAATACACTTGCATTCTGTTGTATCTGTGTTCCTGTTGTTCGTGCTGTCTCTACCATCGACAATAAAACATGTCTTCTGTCTGAATTAAAGACGCGATCCCAGACTATGTCATCTTCTTCAATAACTTAAAAAAATATATCAAAATGACACTGCCCTTGTAACTGATCGGGGTAGAATATTATATAATCAACAGAATGTTGTGACTAAGCAAAAAATATAATACAAACTGAATTTGTTAAAAATACAACAATAACAACTTATTCTTGTATCGCCCTAAATCAGAAGTCATCTCAGAGGACTGAAATCACCAACACAGAATCAACAGTCAAGACACAAAATACACACATATGAATTGGTCCATATGAGAGACCAATACATATGTGTATATTACATATCTTTTTAACACACCT